TCTGAGTGGTCTGTGGGGCTCCCGTGACTGGCCTCGAGAGACCAGAGTTCCCTTCATCCGAGAGAGTGGACCCCTGTGAGGTTTGTCACTCCCATGTGGCAAGAGCCCACTTCAAAGTGGATGCTTGGTAAAGTTTTCTTTTACACGAATTCAGGTTTTCTCGTATCTGTGTTTCTGCACACAGTGTCCCCTTTGCTTAAAATACTCTCTCTCCTGCACCCTGTCTGCAGGCTTCTGTTCAATCTACAAGTCTCCTCCACGGAGAGGCTTTCTCTGCCATCCCTGCCCCTGCAGGCCACGCGGACCTGAGCTGGGTGCCTGTGTGTCACTCTGGAGCCTATCGCCGCCCATTTAATCCTCTCTGCCTGATCTGCCCTGTTTTCCTGGGCTCATGTTCCCAGCGCCAGGTTGATAGGCTGATGCTGAGCTTCCATTGTTGGACTGGATGGGATGGAGCTGCGGGGATGGGGATACAAGCAGGCAGATGCCTGCAGTGTGGCCGTGAGTCAGAATTTCTTTTCAAATGTGTATCTTCTGTGTCTCATTTGTTCTCCACCTTCATCCTCCTCTGAGGGACGGAGACACTGAGGCTAAAAGAGCTTGAAGGACTTAGGACTCTCTGGAACTTCAGAGTTGGGGTGAAGATTCTGTTGTTTTGTTTTTTTCTATCATAGGTCTAGGTTATTTCTGTATTAAGTTACTTGAGTAAGTGGGTGACTCTTGGAAGTTAGAAGAGCAGGTAAATGGGTTTTGGAGGAAGTAGAAGAAAAGCAGTTGAATCAAACATATGGTAGGAATGATTCATAATTTGGATTTAGTTTATATTGAAAGTGAAAGTCGCTCAGCCGTGTCCGACTCTTTACAACCCCATGGACTGTACAGTGCATGGAATTCTCCAGGCCAGAATACTGGAGTGGGTAGCCTTTCCCTTCTCCAGGGGATCTTCTCAACCCAGGGATTTAACCCAGGTCTCCTGCATTGCAGGCAGATTCTTTACTAGCTGAGCCACAAGGGAAGCCCAAGAAAAACTGGAGTGGGTAGCCTATCCCTTCTCCAGCAGACCTTCTGACCCAGGAATCAAACCTAGGTCAATTATATTGAAGTATATCCTTAAATCTTAAATGTATATTCTGCTATGTTTGGAGTTTGTTTATGTTTTTTCTTTTACATAATGATGTATAAGATTATGAAAACAGTGCTATCTTAAGATTCAGAATAATTGCTGTAGCCATTATGTGAAAACTGTGACAATTTCGGCTTTTTCTAAGAACGGATTTAATTATATTCTAGCACAACAACTTCTCTGGGGATACTCAGGTATGATGACTGACTAAATGTTGTGTTCATTTGCAGCCTGATATTTTTGTTCATTTGATTCTTTGAATCCTGTTTTTTCATTTACCTCAGTAGCTAGAAGTTGTATCAGTATTATTTTCTGGTGCTAACAATTAAAGGAGAGAGGAAAGTATACTAGTAGAGTACATAGGTGGTTGTTACACACACCACAATCAGGCCATGTTTCAGTTCATAGAACATTTAGTCTCAAATGAAACAATTATGCTGAGATTGAGATTGGTATTTAAGCTGCGGGATTTAATGGAAGGGTGAGAGTGCCCACACTTGTTATATGATGAGATTGAAGTGGACAGAGGGGCATCCATTCTAGGATCTCTGTCGATGAAGTGTCAGTTATTGACTGTCTTTATAAAAAGTTTTGATAGACTTGTATTATTTTCCTCCAGTTCATGTTTCCCTGGAAAATCAGGATATGAGGTTAGCTTTACAGAAATTGTTTTTATAGTAAACATTATTTTTGGGGTCAGTCTATTCCTTGAAGCTAAAATTAATTTAGAAGCTGTCACTGTTATAGTGATAATTCATGTAAGTATTAACCTTGTTTTCTAGCTTGTAGGAAAAGTGGCTGATCCCCCACAGCTACCATGACTGTATTCCTACATCTTTAAGGAGTGATCACAGCGGAAGGCAGAGTCTTGTTGTCAGCAGGCTGCATGGTTAGCCGCCTGCCCGGGGTGGGGTGTGCTATGGGTGGCGTTGGCAACCGCCCAGCTTGTCGTCTATCTCCTGTTCAGAATGGAAGCGAGGACGGCACTGCAGTGTCACTGACGACTTCTTGAGAAGTCTGCTCGCAGCGCTGTTCTGAGCCAGCCTGGTGCCCTGTGGAGTAGAGTGAGGCTTCCCTGGGTCCTTGCAGAGCGCCGGGAGCACTGGGCTGGCCACCAAGCTGCTCTCTCCATCCTTGTGTGCTGCTTTTTCTTCTTTTAAAGATTTGACTGACAGATGGCCTACAATTTAACTGGCACCTCATCTTATTTTCAAGTGGACCATAGCATCCTGTCTCCATCCACGTGGAAAATCTTCCTCAAAGTGAGGGCGGAACCATAGATTTAGCATGCTGACGGTTTTACCTTGAGCTGACCCACAGTAAAGCACAAACCACTCTGAGCAGAGTTGTTCCTAAATAGTTACAACTGATAAACACTGTCTGTCTCTAGGATCACGCCTGGCACTAAATACTTAACCTCTTTTGACAGTGCTGATAATTCTGAAGGCAGGGCCACAGAAGCACAAGTCATTTAATAAGTGCTGTTTAATTATTTTATGGATACCGGTTGAGGTGCTTCACAATTTCAAAGGTGCCCCAATCCAGGGCATGGAGACATTTTTCTGTGTTAACATTTATACTTTAGGGTAAAAGCTGAAAGCTTAACTACAAAATAAACAGAAATCAGAACTCCAGGTCTAATAGACTTCTGTGCTTAGAACTGTCTCTTACTACATTTTCTCTCTCCTTTATTTTCTATGATTTGTTTCATCAGAGCATGACTGGTGTTAATCGCATGTTACATGTGGTGTGCGCGTCAATCACATGTTACATGTGTGTGCAGTCACATGTTACATGTGGTACGTGTGCCAATCACATGTTACATGTGGCCCACACAATTGCATGTTACATGTGGTGTGCGCGTGTCATTGACATTTTATTTGCACATTGATACTAGACAGCTGTTCTGAAGGTAGGTATGAGGCTTATAGGCTGCTGAATTTCATGCAAGGTTATTGGACAGGATTATCTGCAGAGTGCATGTTGGGTAGCAGTTATTAACATGAAACACAGTGTGCTGCACATTTGGTTTTTCTGTTTTTTGAGTGTTCTGAATTTTAATTTCTAACTTTTTTTGTATCTTTGGTATTATATCCTTGCCTTGTGATTTGGATATTCTATTATAGTTAATTCAACTATATTGAATTCTATGTTGAATTCAACATTTTTCAGCACATTAAAAATGAATTAAAAAATAATATTTTAATGGGACTCACAGACCAAGGAGACTGTGCTAGTCAGACTATAGACAAGATTTTCTGACTTCTTAAACACTACTGCCTGACTCACTCTAAGCCACATAGTGTAGAAACTGACAATAATCAGGACATGGGTATTGGTATCTTCAACAGTTACAGAAGTGTGTCCTTGCTTAAACTTCTGTGGCAGTAATTTTAAATGTCTTATTGTAACATGAGAGAGAATCTTCTTGGTAGAAGTTAAGGCCATCTCCCTGGTGTGTGAGTCTGTGAAATGAGTGTCCTTCCCTGGTTAACAGATAATGATGGACAAAATTTCAAGGAGCTTGAGGTGTTCCCCTTTTTATATTTTTTTCCAAAATTAGTCTTTCCAGAGTCTAGATATTATATGTATGCTAGGGAGAAAATGGAATGTTAGTTTGCATAAGATTGAATTTGAGATGCTTTTTATTTCCGTGTATAGGCAAATACATACCCACAGGTATATCATGTTACTTTAAAATTTTATTATTTCTGGTATTGTAGACAAATACACAGAAACACAAAATGTGCTTAGAAATAAAATATTATTTTCTAGACCAATGGCTGAAAATCAGCAAACATGTTTTTTCCCCAGAAAAAACCTTACTAGCCTCCTGGTTTATCAACCATCCCAGAGTGCAGCTACCTGGTGGGGGAAGCATGCCATCACAGCTGGCCCCTGTGCCCCATTGCTTAACCCTGAAGCACTACTGCCAAGGCCAGAGTCGAGAAGAGTGCCCTTTCCTGGGTGATAAGCGCAAGTGAACTCTGCCTCAGAGTGTCGTGCTTCCTGCCTGGACACGCACAGAGCATCTCAGAGCTGGAACCTCGGCCCCTTCCTCTCTCCAGTGAGCCCTCAAGTCCCAGAGAAGCCGCACTAGCCCCCTCTCTTCAAACGTGCAGTCATGGTGGACGGGAAGCTACAGGCTCCTGGCGGCCTCAGCTCTTGCAGCCTGGGTCAGCTAGGACAGGGACACCAGTCCCCATACCCTCACCTGGAGCCTTGCTTTATCCTTTCAGCTGCTCGGCTCCTGGGAACATCACAAAGAAAAATTCTTACAGGGCCTGCTTATAAATTGTCCTTAAATAAAATGAGGCTTCTTTAAACTTTATTCACATTTTCTTTGATGCTCTTATTTGTGGACAAATCACCACTAAAAGTTATTTTCAATGTTGATTCCATTTGTATGATATTATAGGGTAATTTTTAAAATGCATGTAAATGCATTCTATATATTTATTTAAAATAAGCACTTTCCAGAGGCTTCCCTGGTGGTCCAATGGCTGAGACTCCGTGCTCCCAATGCAGGAGGCCTGACTCAATCCCTGGCCAGAAAACTAGATCGCACGTGCTACAACTAAAGGCCCCACATGCTTCAATGAAGACTGAAGATCCTGCATGTCGCAGCCAACACCTGATGAAGCCAAATAAAATAAATAAATAAAATTTATAAAAAAATAAAGTAAGCACTTTCCAGAGAAAAATATTACTTCCCTAGGCTCTATCAGCACAATTATGCCAAATTGTTGCATTTTTACAGTATGCTTAAAACTCTCAAAGTGACTTTCTAGGCCTATCTAATATGCAAGAATATGCAGGTTAAATAAGTGATAGTAGACTTGTATGTACTCATAGCATCTCTTTATGTGACTTGCAGGAAGACCCTGCACTCAGCTTCAGCTCCTGAATCCAGAACGCTTTGCACGTCTTATCAAAGAAGTAATGAACACATTCTGGCCTGGCAGAGAGTTGATTGTCCAGTGGTACCCATGCGATGAAGACAGAAAGCACCCGTCTGTTTCATGGCTTAGGATGGTGTGGAAGCATCTCTACGTACATTTTTCAGAGGATCTGACTTTATTTGATGAGATGCCGCTCATTCCCAGGACCCCACTAGAAGAAGGGCAGACATGTGTGGAGCTCATCAGACTCAGGGCTCCTTCATTAGTCATTTTAGACGATGAGTCTGAAGCACAGCTTCCAGAATTTTTAGCGGACGTGGTACAGAAGCTTGGAGGGATTGTCCTTAAAAAATTAGATGCCTCCATACAGCACCCGCTTATTAAAAAATATATCCACCTGCCCTCGCCGAGTGCTGTGCTGCACATCATGGAGAAGATGCCTCTGCAGAAGCTGTGTAACCAGGTCGCGTCGCTGCTTCCAACGCACAAAGACGCCCTGCGCAAGTTCTTGGCCAACTTGACTGAGAGCAGTGAGAAAGAGAAGAGAATAATTCAGGAGCTGACAATATTCAAGCGCATCAACCATTCATCCAGCCAGGGGCTGTCCTCTTACACCAGGCTGAAGGGCTGCAGGGTCCTGCACCCTGCGGCCACACTCCCAGCCGGCCTGCGGCTCTCCATCTCGGTGGTAGACAGCAGTGATGAGGCCACTGTCCGTCTGGCGAACCTGTTGAAGGTGGAGAAGGTCAGGACCACCAGCTGCTTGAAGCTCATCTTAAAAGACATCGAAAGTACATTTTACTCTCAAGAAGAGGTGACACATCTTGTGCTATGGGTCCTTGAGAACCTGTCCTCTCTCAAAAGTGAGAACCCAAATGTGCTTGATTGGTTAATGCCACTGAAGTTTATTCAGCTCCTGCCAGGGCGGCTGGTGATGGCTAGCGAACTCTTTGACCCTGACGTGGAGGTGTTGAAGGACCTCTTCTATGACGAAGAGGAAGCTTGTTTCCCACCCTCGGCCTTTACCTCCCCAGACATCCTTCACTCCTTAAGACAGATTGGTCTGAAAAATGAAGCCAGTCTCAAAGAGAAAGATGTTGTACAAGTGGCTAAAAAAATTGAAGCCTTACAGGCCAGTTCTTGTCCAAATCAGGACACTCTCCTGAAGAAAGCCAGGACACTCTTGCTGGTTTTAAATAAGAACCCTGCCCTGCTGCACTCATGTGAAGGGAAGGCGGCCCTAAAGAAGATAAAATGGGTTCCAGCTTGCAAGGAAAGGCCCCCGAACTATCCAGGCTCCTTAGTCTGGAAAGGCGACCTCTGTGAGCTCTGTGCACCCCCCGACATGTGTGATGCAGCCCATGCCATCCTGGTTGGCTCTTCACTTCCCCTCGTGGAGAGTGTCCATGTAAACTTGGAGAAAGCTTTAGGCATCCTCACAAAACCTGGTATCAACGCTGTCTTAAAGCACTTTAAGATCGTTGTGGATTGGTATACATCAAAGACCTTTAGTGATGAAGACTACTACCAATTCCAACATATTTTGCTTGAAATTTATGGATTCATGCATGATCATTTAAATGAAGGGAAAGATGCTTTCAGAGCCTTAAAATTTCCATGGGTTTGGACTGGCAAAAAGTTCTGTCCTCTTGCCCAAGCTGTGATAAAACCATTCCATGATCTTGACCTTCAGCCTTATTTGCATAGTGTGCCTAAAACCATGGCAAAGTTCCACCAGCTGTTTAAGGCTTGTGGTTCAATAGAGGAGTTGACAGCAGATCATATTTCTATGGTCATTCAGAAGGTGTATCTCAAAAGTGACCAAGACCTCAGTGACCAGGAAAGCAAACAGAATCTTCATCTTATGTTGAACATTATCAGGTGGCTTTACAGCAATCAGATTCCAGCAAGTCCCAACACTCCGGTTCCTATACATCATAGCAAGAACCCTTCCAAGCTTATCATGAAGCCAATTCATGAGTGCTGCTACTGTGACATCAAAGTTGATGACCTGAATGACTTACTGGAAGATTCTGTGGAGCCGATCATTTTGGTGCATGAGGACATACCCATGAAAACCGCTGAGTGGCTGAAAGTCCCATGCCTCAGTACAAGACTAATTAACCCCGAGAACATGGGCTTTGAGCAGTCAGGACAACGAGAACCACTGACGGTAAGGATCAAAAACATTCTGGAAGAGTACCCATCAGTGTCAGATATCTTTAAAGAGCTTCTTCAAAACGCTGATGATGCAAATGCAACAGAATGCAGCTTCATGATTGACATGAGAAGAAACATGGACATCCGAGAGAATCTCCTGGACCCGGGGATGGCGGCGTGCCACGGGCCGGCTCTATGGTCGTTCAACAACTCCCAGTTCTCGGATTCAGACTTCGTGAACATAACCAGGCTTGGGGAATCTCTGAAGAGGGCCGAAGTTGACAAGGTTGGGAAGTTTGGTCTTGGGTTCAACTCTGTGTACCACATCACTGACATCCCTGTCATTATGAGCCGAGAGTTCATGATAATGTTTGACCCGAACATCAACCACATTAGCAAGCACATTAAAGACAGGTCTAACCCTGGGATCAAAATCAACTGGAGCAAACAGCAGAAGAGACTCAGGAAGTTTCCTAATCAGTTCAAACCATTCATGAATGTGTTTGACTGTCAATTGCCCCTGACGGTGGAGGCACCCTACAGTTATAGCGGGACTCTGTTCCGACTGTCCTTCAGAACCCAGCAGGAAGCCAAAGTGAGCGAGGTCAGCAGCACCTGCTACAACACAGCAGACATCTACTCTCTGGTGGACGAGTTTAGTCTCTGTGGACACAGGCTCATCATTTTCACTCAGAATGTAACCTCCATGTACTTGAAGTACCTAAAGATTGAGGAGACCAATCCTAGTTTAGCACAGGACACAATAATCATAAAAAAAAAATCATGCTCCTCCAAAGCGCTGACTGCACCCGTCATCAGCGTTCTAAAAGAAGCCGCTAAGCTCATGAAGACTTGTGGCACCAGTAACAAAAAGCTCCCCGCCGAGGCCCCCAAGTCATCTTGTATCCTGCAAATCACAGTGGAGGAATTTCACCACGTGTTCCGAAGGATTGCAGACTTACAGTCACCACTCTTCAGAGGTCCAGAAGACGACCCAGCTACTCTCTTTGAAATGGCTAAAGCAGGCCAATCCAAAAAGCCGTCAGATGAGCTGCCCCAGAAAACCGTGGATTGTACCACGTGGTTGATCTGTACCTGCATGGACACGGGGGAGGCGCTCAAGTTCTCCCTGAGTGAGAGCGGGAGAAGGTTGGGCCTGGTCCCATGTGGGGCTGTGGCGGTTCTCCTTGCTGAAGTCCAGGACCAGAAGTGGGCCGTACGGCCACAGGCCGGAGAAGTGTTCTGCTATTTACCTCTGCGGATAAAGACGGGATTGCCAGTTCACATCAATGGGTGCTTCGCTGTTACTTCAAACAGGAAAGAGATCTGGAAGACAGACACGAAGGGGCGCTGGAACACCACCTTCATGAGGCACGTGGTCGTGAAAGCGTACCTGGAGGCTCTCAGCGTGTTGCGTGAGCTAGCTGCCAGCGGGGAGCTGACGGACTACACTTACCACACTGTGTGGCCTGACCCCGACCTAGTGCACGACGACTTTTCTGTCATCTGCCAAGGGTTTTATGAAGACATCGCCCATGGGAAAGGGAAGGACTTGACGAGGGTCTTCTCCGACGGGTCTATGTGGGTCTCCATGAAGAACGTGAGATTTCTGGATGACTCCATACTTAAAAGAAGAGATGTTGGTCCAGCCGCCTTCAAGATATTTTTGAAATACCTCAAGAAGACGGGGTCGAAAAACCTTTGTGCTGTTGAACTTCCTTCTTCGGTAAAGCTAGGATTTGAAGAAGCTGGCTGCAAACAGATCCTGCTGGAAAATACATTTTCAGAGAGACAGTTTTTTTCAGAAGTGTTTTTCCCAAATATTCAAGAAATTGAAGCAGAACTCAGAGATCCTTTAATGAATTTTGTCCTAAACGAGAAAGTTGATGAGTTCTCGGGGATCCTCCGTGTTACCCCATGTATCCCCTGCTCTTTGGAGGGGCATCCTCTGGTTTTACCATCAAGATTAATCCACCCTGAAGGACGTGTCGCTAAGTTATTTGATACTAAAGACGGACGATTTCCTTATGGTTCCACTCAGGACTATCTAAACCCTATTATTCTGATCAAACTAGTCCAGCTAGGTATGGCAAAGGATGATATTTTGTGGGATGACATGCTGGAGCGTGCAGAGTCAGTAGCTGAAATTAATAAAAGTGATCACAGTGCTGCTTGTCTACGAAGTAGCATCCTGTTAAGTCTTATTGATGAAAAACTGAAAATAAGGGATCCAAGAGCAAAGGATTTTGCTGCAAAATATCAAACAATCCCTTTCCTCCCATTTCTGACGAAGCCGGCAGGTTTCTCTTTGGATTGGAAAGGCAACAGCTTTAAGCCCGAAACCATGTTTGCAGCAACTGACCTCTATATAGCGGAGCACCAGGATATAGTCTGTCTTTTGCAACCAATTCTAAACGAAAATTCTCATTCCTTCAGAGGCTGTGGGTCTGTGCCCTTGGCAGTGAAGGAGTTTCTGGGTTTGCTCCGGAAGCCCACAGTTGAGCTGGTTGTAAACCAGCTGAGAGAAGTTGCAAAGTCAGTTGACGATGGGATCACGTTATACCAGGAGAACATCACCAATGCTTGCTACAAATACCTCCATGAAGCAATGATGCAGAGTGACAGCACCAAGACGGCAGTCACTGAAAAGCTGAAAACCTTTAACTTCATTCTAGTTGAGAATGCGTATGTCAACTCAGAAAAAGTGGCTTTTCATTTAAATTTTGAAGCAGCCCCATACCTTTATCAGTTGCCTAATAAATATAAAAATAATTTCCGTGAACTTTTTGAAAGTGTGGGTGTGAGGCAGTCTTTCACTGTGGAAGATTTTGCCCTCGTTTTGCAATCCATAGCTCAAGAAAAAGAAACCAAACAAGTAACAGAAGAGAATTTTCAGCTCTGCCGGCGAATAATCAGTGAGGGGATATGGAGTCTCATTAGAGAAAAGAAACAAGAATTTTGTGAGAGAAATTATGGCCACATATTATTGCCGGATACTAACCTTAAGCTTCTCCCTGCGAAGTCTCTGTGCTATAATGACTGTCCCTGGATAAAAGTGAAGGACACCACTGTCAAGTACTGTCATGCAGACATACCCAGGGAAGTAGCCGTGAAACTGGGTGCAGTGCCAAAGCGGCACAAAGCCCTGGAACGCTATGCATCCAACGTGTGCTTCACGACGCTGGGCTCAGAGTTTGGGCAGAAAGAAAAACTGACTAGCAGAATTAAGAGCATCCTCAATGCCTATCCTTCAGAAAAGGAGATGCTGAAAGAGCTGCTTCAGAACGCTGATGACGCGAAGGCCACAGAGATCTGCTTCGTGTTTGACCCTAGGCAGCACCCAGTGGACAGGATATTTGATGATAAGTGGGCACCCTTGCAGGGGCCAGCACTGTGTGTGTACAACAACCAGCCTTTCACGGAGGACGACGTCAGAGGGATCCAGAACCTGGGCAGAGGCACCAAGGAAGGGAACCCTTGTAAGACTGGACAGTACGGGGTGGGGTTCAACTCTGTGTATCACATCACAGACTGCCCCTCCTTCATCTCTGGCAACGACATCCTGTGCATTTTCGACCCTCATGCCAGGTATGCACCGGGGGCCACGTCTGTCAGTCCTGGACGCATGTTCAGAGACCTGGATGCGGATTTCAGAACTCAGTTCTCAGATGTTCTGGACCTTTACCTGGGAACCCACTTCAAGTTGGACAACTGCACGATGTTCCGGTTCCCTCTCCGTAACACAGAGATGGCAAAGGTTTCGGAGATCTCATCAGTTCCATCATCAGACAGGATGGTCCAGAACCTTCTGGATAAGCTGCGGTCAGACGGGGCAGAGCTGTTAATGTTTCTTAACCACATGGAAAAAATCTCTATTTGTGAAATAGACAAAGCCACGGGTGCCCTGAACGTGCTGTATTCCGTGAAGGGCAACATCACTGACGGGGACCGGCTGAAGAGGAAGCAGTTTCACGCGTCTGTCATTGACAGCGTCACAAAGAAGAGGCAGCTCCCAGACATCCCAGTGCAGCAGGTCACCTATACCATGGACACTGAGGACTCTGAGGGGAGCCTCACCACCTGGCTCATCTGTAACAGATCTGGCTTCTCCAGCATGGACAAGGTGTCCAAGAGCGTTGTGTCAGCGCACAAGAACCAGGATATCACACTCTTCCCTCGCGGGGGCGTGGCCGCCTGTATCACCCACAACTACAAGAAGCCCCACAGGGTCTTCTGCTTCCTGCCACTCTCTTTAGAGACGGGGCTCCCGTTCCACGTGAACGGCCACTTTGCACTGGACTCGGCCCGCAGGAACCTGTGGCGGGATGACAATGGGGTTGGCGTGCGTAGTGACTGGAACAGCAGCCTGATGACGGCGCTCATCGCGCCCGCGTACGTGGAGCTGCTGGCCCAGCTGAAGAAGCGCTACTTCCCCGGCTCCGACCCAACGTTGTCGGTCCTGCAGAACACGCCCATCCATGTTGTCAAGGACACACTGAAGAAGTTCCTGTCATTCTTCCCCGTCAACAGGCTGGACCTCCAGCCAGACCTGTACTGTCTGGTGAAGGCACTGTACAGCTGCATCCATGATGACATGAAGCGCCTCCTTCCAGTGGTGCGTGCTCCCAGCATCGATGGCTCCGACCTGCACTCTGCAGTCATCATCACCTGGGTCAACATGTCCACCTCAAATAAAACCAGGCCGTTCTTTGACAATCTACTGCAGGATGAGCTACAGCACCTTAAAAACGCAGATTATAACATCACCACACGCAAAACAGTCGCAGAGAACATCTACAGGCTAAAGCACCTGCTCCTGGAGATCGGCTTCAACCTGGTTTACAACTGTGACGAGACTGCTAACCTGTACCACTGCCTTGTGGACGCCAATATCCCCGTGAGCTACGTCACCCCTGCCGATGTCCGGGCTTTCTTAATGACCTTTTCCTCCCCTGACACCAACTGCCATATTGGGAAGCTGCCCTGTCGTCTCCAGCAGACCAACCTGAAGCTTTTCCACAGTTTAAAACTTTTAGTCGATTATTGTTTTAAGGATGCAGAAGAAAGTGAATTTGAAGTGGAGGGTCTGCCCCTTCTCATTACCCTGGACAGTGTTTTGCAAACTTTTGATGCAAAACGTCCCAAGTTTCTGACAACATACCACGAACTGATCCCATCCCGCAAAGACCTGTTCATGAACACGCTGTACTTGAAGTACAGCAATATTTTACTGAACTGCAAAGTTGCAAAAGTATTTGACATTTCCAGCTTTGCTGACCTGCTGCCCTCTGTGCTGCCCCGCGAGTACAAGACCAAAAGCTGCACCAAGTGGAAAGATAGCTTTGCCAGTGAGTCTTGGTTGAAGAATGCCTGGCATTTCATCAGCGAGTCTATGAATGTGAAGGAGGACCAAGAGGAGACAAAGCCAGCCTTCGACGCTGTCGTGGACACCCTAAGAGACTGGGCCCTGCTCCCAGGAACAAAGTTCACTGTGTCAGCCAACCAGCTCGTGGTCCCTGAGGGGGATGTCCTGCTCCCGCTGAGCCTCATGCACATAGCTGTCTTCCCAAATGCCCAGACTGATAAGGTTTTTCATGCCCTCATGAAAGCCGGCTGCATTCAGTTGGCTTTGAACAAAATCTGCTCCAAAGACAGTGCATTTGTCCCTCTGTTGTCCTCTCACACGGCCAACATAGAGAGCCCCACAAGCATTTTGAAGGCTGTGCATTACATGGTCCAAACCTCAACATTTAGAACTGAAAAATTAGTGGAAAATGACTTTGAAGCACTTTTGATGTATTTCAACTGCAATTTGAATCACTTGATGTCCCAAGATGACATAAAAATTTTAAAGTCACTTCCATGCTACAAATCCATCAGTGGTCGCTACATGAGCATTGCGAAGTTTGGAACATGCTACGTGCTTACAAAAAGTATTCCCTCTGCTGAAGTGGAAAAATGGACGCAATCATCGTCCTCTGCGTTTCTTGAAGAAAAAATACACTTGAAAGAACTGTATGAGCTGCTGGGTTGTGTACCTGTGGATGATCTTGAGGTATATTTGAAACACCTCTTACCAAAAATTGAAAATCTCTCTTACGATGCAAAACTAGAGCATTTGATTTATCTCAAGAATAGACTGTCAAATGTCGAGGAGCTGTCTGAGATCAAGGAACAACTTTTTGAAAAGCTGGAAGGCTTGTTGATAATCCATGATGCTAACAACCGACTAAAGCAAGCAAAGCATTTCTATGACAGAACTATAAGAGTTTTTGAAGTTATGCTTCCTGAAAAATTGTTCATCCCAAAGGACTTCTTTAAAAAACTGGAACAACTTATAAAACCCAAAAATCAAGTTGCATTTATGACCTCCTGGGTAGAATTCTTAAGAAACATTGGACTGAAACACATCCTCTCTCAGCAGCAGTTGTTGCAGTTTGCTAAGGAGATCAGTGTGCGAGCTAATACGGAAAACTGGTCTAAGGAAACGCTGCAGAACACAGTCGACATCCTTCTCCATCACATATTTCAGGAACGAACGGATCTGTTCGTGGGGGACTTCCTGAAAGAACTGTCTCTGATCCCCTTCTTGTGTCCAGAGCGGGCCCCCGTGGAGTTCATCCGATTTCACCCTCAATATCAGGAGGTGAATGGGACGCTCCCCCTCATCAGGTTCAGTGGCGCCCAGGTGAACCCAAAGTTCAAGCAGTGTGACGTGCTGCAGCTGCTGTGGACGTCCTGCCCCATCCTCCCAGAGAAGGCCACACCCCTGAGCATCAGGGAGCAGGCGGGGAGTGACCTCGGCCCCCAGGAGCAGCTGGAGCAGGTTCTGAGCCTGCTGAACGTGAACCTTGACCCCCCTGTGGACAAGGTCATCAATAACTGCAGGAACGTGTGCAACATCACGACGCTGGATGAGGATATGGTCAGGACCAGAGCCAAGGTCCTGAGGAGCATATACGAGTTCCTCAGCGCCGAGAAGAGGGAGTTCCGTTTCCAGCTGCGGGGCGTTGCTTTTGTGATGGTGGAAGATGGCTGGAAGCTCCTGAAGCCGGAGGAGGTGGTAATCAACCTGGAGTATGAGTCCGATTTCAAGCCGTATCTGTACAAGCTGCCCTTAGAGCTGGGCACCTTCCACCAGCTGTTCAAACATTTGGGCACTGAGGACGTCATCTCCACCAAGCAGTATGTGGAGGTGCTGAGCCGCATCTTCAAGAACTCTGAAGGGAAGCAGCTGGACCCAAACGAGATGCGCACTGTCAAGAGGGTTGTTTCCGGCCTGTTCAGGAGTCTGCAGAATGACTCCGTCAAGGTGCGAGGCGACCTGGAGAATATCCGGGACCTCGCGCTCTACCTGCCGAGCCAGGACGGCCGGCTGGTCAGGTCAAGCATCCTGGTGTTTGATGACGCCCCACACTACAAGAGCAGGATCCAGGGCAGCATTGGGGTGCAGATGCTGGTGGACCTCAGCCAGTGCTACCTGGGGAAGGACCATGGCTTCCACACCAAGCTCATCATGCTCTTCCCCCAGAAGCTGCGGCCACGCCTGCTGAGCAGCATCCTGGAGGAGCAGCTGGACGAGGAGACCCCCAGGGTGTGCCAGTTCGGGGCACTGTGCTCACTCCAAGGCCGGCTGCAGCTCCTGCTGTCCTCTGAGCAGTTTATCGCGGGCCTCGTCAGGATCATGAAGCATGAGAATGACAACGCCTTCCTGGCCAACGAGGAGAAGGCCATCCGCCTCTGCAAGGCCCTCCGGGAAGGGCTGAAGGTGTCCTGCTTCGAGAAGCTTCAGACCACACTACGGGTGAAGGGCTTCAACCCCATCCCCCAGAGCAGGAGTGAGACCTTTGCTTTCCTGAAGCGGTTTGGGAATGCTGTCATCCTGCTGTACATACAGCACTCAGACAGTAAGGACATCAACTTCCTGCTGGCCTTGGCCATGACGCTGAAGTCAGCGACTGACAACCTGATCTCTGACACGTCCTACCTAATTGCTATGCTGGGATGCAACGACATTTACAGGATCAGCGAGAAGCTTGACAGCCTAGGCGTGAAATACGACTCTTCAGAACCATCGAAACTTGAACTGCCAATGCCTGGCACGCCAATACCTGCTGAGATTCATTACACCCTGCTCATGGACCCCATGAATGTCTTTTACCCAGGAGAGTACGTCGGGTACCTTGTCGATGCCGAAGGCGGGGACATCTATGGGTCGTACCAGCCAACGTACACGTATGCCATCATCGTACAAGAGGTCGAAAGAGAAGACGCCGACAACTCAAGCTTCCTAGGAAAGATTTATCAGATTGACATTGGCTACAGTGAGTACAAAATCGTTAGCTCTCTGGATCTGTATAAGTTCTCACGGCCAGAGGAGAGCTCCCAGAGCAGAGACAGTGCCCCCTCTACCCCCACAAGCCCCACGGAGTTCCTGGCCCCTGGTCTTCGAAGCGTCCCACCCCTCTTCCCTGGGAAAGAGGGCATCAAGACCCCGTCTTCCAAGCATCATGCCCCCAAAAAGCTCAAGGCTACTTCTCTCCCAGAAATTCTCAAGGAGGTGACGTCTGTGGTGGAGCAAGCCTGGAAGCTTCCTGAGTCAGAGAGGAAGAAGATTATCAGGCGGTTGTACCTGAAATGGCACCCTGACAAAAACCCAGAGGACCACGACATGGCTAATGAGGTTTTTAAGCATCTGCAGAATGAGATTAACAGGTTAGAGAAACAGGCTTTTCTCGATCAAAATTCAGACAGAGCCTCGAGGCGGACGTTTCCCACCTCGGCTACCCGGTTCCAGTCGGAGAAGTTCTCCTTCCAGAGATTTTACACGTCATGGAACCAGGAGGCCACGAGCCACAAATCCGAGCGGCAGCAGCAAAATAAAGAGAAAGGCCCGCCGCCGGCCGGGCAGACGTACTCCCAGAGGTTCTTTGTCCCCCCAACTTTCAAGACGGTTGGCAACCCAGTGGAGGCGCGCAGGTGGTTGCGCCAGGCCAGGGCCAACTTCTCGGCCGCCAGGAACGACCTGCACAAGAACGCCAATGAGTGGGTGTGCTTCAAATGCTTCCTGTCTGCCAAGCTGGCCCTCATCGCGGCCGACTACGCCGTGCGGGGCAAATCCGACAAGGACGTGAAGCCGACGGCCCTGGCGCAGAAGATCGAGGAGTACAGCCAGCAGCTGGAGGGCCTGACCAATGACGTCCACACCCTGGAGGCCTACGGTGTGGACAGCTTAAAGACCAGGTACCCCGACCTGCTGCCCTTCCCGCAGATCCCCAACGACAGGTTCACGTCCGAGGTCGCCATGAGGGTGATGGAATGTACTGCCTGTATCATCATAAAACTTGAAAACTTCATACAACAGAAAGTGTGAGGCAAAAACCGGGGGAGAAGCAGGGAGCTAGGTCCTGGACATGTCGTAGCACAAATATGACTTGCTGTCCTTCCTTAAGACTCATCGCCAGCATTCAGGGATGGTGAAGCACATTGGGGGTTGATCAGGTAGAATCTCGGCCTTCTTATTAATGTGGATGTCCACAGGGGACCTTGACCTGAGAGAGTAGTGTTTTAATGCTGGTGGTGAACTTGGAATTGCTGGATCTGGCTGGCTGGCTGGCTGGCTGGCTGGCTGGCCAGCACCTCTTTGAACTGCACTTTACACACCAAAGCTCAGCGGTCTGTTAGAGTCCCTGTGTCTCTGGTTGGTGGTGGGGGGCGGGAGGAGTTAGTTTTGTGTTTTTAATGTATGCAGTATTTTTGAAGGAGCTAATGAAACACTGGACATATCATTGATTGAAACAAATTAGGGGGATTAGGTCTGTGGAGCTTTATCATTTCTTTAAGCAGATCCACTTGGGTACATTATCAGCTGGATCTGATTATGAGCCTGTTGCAGTTTTACATACTAGATACTCAGCACATGTGTAACGTGGTACAGTATTTTATCCTGACTACTACTTGATTGAGACTCTGCAGACAGCCCCCACTGGGGTACCCTGAGTGCCCTTCACATCCTCTTCCTGGAGGTCCCCCTCCCTGGGCCTGCAGGCGTCCCAGATCATGAAGGTGGCACGCAGGAGACCCCGGTGGTGGCCCCTGTTCTCGCTGGATGTGAATATTGCTTCTGAGAACTGCTTGCCAAAGCCATGCCTGTTACCTGTGAGGGCATTTGCTTGATGTTTGTTTGTAAGTGTTCCCTAATTTATATGGTGTGGTTGGACAGGATGTGCTCTTCCGTTGTCTAAAGGTGCTGCACTCAATATTTTTTGTCCTTCAACATGGCACTTAGTGGAGTTTTTTTCTTTGGATTTCACTATGAAGACATTAAAAAATTGTAAAGTCATGTGACAATATCCAGTAGGTTATAAAAGAGGAATTATCAGCTTGTGTCTTTCCCATGAATAATTCAGAACTGATGTTTAATTTTTATCATGTTTGAATGTCCTCTGAACGTTATATCCCTTGCAGAATATAAAAGATGATAATTAGTTTATTTAAGTGTGCTGGCTGTAAATGATGTGCAGTATAATATTTTATGCAATTAAGGGCTTATGGGACATATTACCACTTTTTTACTTGTACTGGTAATAAGGAATGTTTGCGCCTCCACTATTGTATTGCTTCTGGATGTGAGCCATGTGATGATTTCTGCTATTAAGTGCCACAATTTTAATAAAGCAAATGTACATATGAAATCATTGTAACTGGTATTTCCTGAGAAATAGTTCCTTGAAAATCAAACTTAGTATCTTCCTGTATTAAGGTTTGACATGCTGTGTATATGTGTGTTTATTGGAAATACTAGGATAGAACTTTCCTATACATTTATAATATATTGGAATATACTGGAATTTTAAGAGGTTTCTTTTTATGACTGAGTATGAAATACTTGGTATATACTCAGTTTATTAGGTGCTCGTTGATTTTGTTGAGTTGATTTTATTTCACCTTTTTAGGGAATGCGATTAGTTGACATTTGTGACTTTTGTTGTTGTTTAGTTGCTAAATTGTATCTGACTCCTTGCAACCCCCCCATGGACTAGAGCATGCAAGGCTTCCCTGGCCTCCCCTGTCTCCTGGAATTGGCTCAAATTCATGTCCATTGAGTCATGATGCTGTCCAACCATCTCATCTTCTGTTGCCCTCTTCTCCTTTTGCCTTCAATATTTTCCAGCATCAGGGTCTTTTCCAATGAGTTGACTCTTTGCATCAGGTGGCCAAAGTATTGGAGCTTCAACATATGTGATACACATATGTATTTAGAAATATATGAAATAGAATTATTCTGTAGTAGAGGCTGGATGGATGCCGACCTTGCCTCAGGGAAGGGCTGTGGGCTGGGACTAGTTCACACCTGAGCCCTAATAGGTGGGCAATGTTCCTCTTATACCTGAGGCACAAGTTTTCAAATCCTACACACCAAACTTGGGGTTCTCTGTCCCGGGGCCCCCCAAATGCTGGATCTCCAGCTATCTGGGACTTTTAAGTTCTTGCTACTTTAAAACTCAGATTCAACACTTGGAATGTATTTTATTGCTTTCAGATATTAAAATGTACACAGAAAATTTTGGCCTTTGTGATAGTTGATGTAGTTGGAGTTTTGTGTTTTTTCTAGACTTCCTTTAACAGAAAAATTATAGGTTTGCAGTCCTTTACATGAAGCCCTTGCATCCAAATGTATTTCAGAATTTGGATTTTAGAAAGTTAACACGAGTGCATATAAACTGGGTTTAATGAGGCTTTTCCATTGGGGGTGGGGGTTGGGCCGCTCCCTTTAATGAAACACAGTGAAACCGTGAACACCTACCCACCCTAAACTATACAGACCTGAGAAACAGCCTCATCTAAACTTAGATCAGGTTTTGCTGTCCAGAATTTATAGCAGATGGATTTGGGAAGTTTTCATTATTTGAAACTTTTAGATTTTGAAGTTCAGGCTAAGGAATTTTGGACCCAAACTATTTTTATTATTACTTTTATTTTGCGCCTTTTACCGTATTTTGCATTTCTTATTAAAAGGAAACGAGACTGCCAACTGGTGTGTGAGCAGCTGCTCTCGGGGAGGGGGTTGGAACAGCCCTTCTGCCCATGGAGGTGGGCTCTGTGTTGGCAGGAGGCCCGAGTGGTCCACAGCCGCCAGGGGGAACAGGTGAAGGCCCGAGAATGATTCTGGGAAGACGTTCACGTAGCGTTTAGTCAAATAAAGAGAAGTAGTTTACAGGTTAGTTTTGGGGACCAGTGGGTGTCTTTCCATCATTGCCAGTTGACATCCTGTGTCCTTCCAGTGTTTTGTCGACCTCAAGGATAAAAGAGTAGAAAATGGCAAGTAGACAAGACTTAGCTAGTCACGTATTGCTCAGGGTTTCACCAGAGTCTGGAGTCAGCGGGAGACATGCAGACACCATGTGGGAAGAGGTCTCCTTTCAGGAGTTGACCGGCTATCGGGGCCACAGTCTGTGGCCCGCGGGACGCCTGCCCACGGGCAGGAGCTGGAGCTTCCTAACTGCGGGTGGAGTTTCCTAAACCCCTGACTTCTAGAGCTTCTCCACTGATCTTGTTTTGCCACATTTGGTCTAAAATGTCATCCGTCCTCCATTGGTTAGGAAGCCGGTCCCAGGCCCATGCTGTCAAGGTGTGGGAGAGCCTGGAGGGACATGGATACCAGAGCCAACGTGAGTTACATTATATTTGAAAAGAAGAACCGCATGTTTAAAATCTCTGCTGCTTTCTCTTGTGTTTGTTAAGGCCCTGGATACAAAGCCCAGGACAAAAACCGAAGCTGCACTGACTGTTCAGCTCAAAATTCACTTTCTGTTCCATGCCCTTCTTACCCTCTTGTTCCACCTGCTTGTTTATGCCCGACCCAAAGTTCACTTGGTTTTTAAACCACAGCCAGTGTGCAGTGGCAGTTATAATACAGAGAAGATTGAAGCCCAGTGAGCTGTGACGTGTTAGTTCGGGGAACGGCAGGGACAAACAGTACAAGCAACCCAGCCTCGCTGGCTTCATGCTGGGGATGGCTCTGCTCTTCAGAAGAGCTCCCACCCTGCTCCCCTGTCCCCCACGAGTGGAGACTGACCTGAGGGGTGCCCGAGGGAGCCCTGAGCCCTGTAGGAGCTGCGGAGCCTGTGAGGGGTTGAGAGGGGAAAGGTTCACGTTTCCTCCACTGGAAGGTCTAAATTTACTATTAAAGCTGACATGTTGATCTTCATTTCTTGACTTGTGTCTGCTTCTCAGTCAGTTTGGAAATTGGAAAAGAAATAAAGACTGTTTTTCAAGGTCCCTAAAATATCAACCAATACTCAGTGATCGTACCCACTTGGCGTGTAGTGCTCTCCGTGTATGTGCCTCGTCGCGGGTGCTCCTAGCATGGCCTTGCCCCTTCAGTGGAGATTTAAACTACACTGTATAATGTACTTAAGAAGGTAGGTTTATGCAGTACATTCTAGAATACAGCCTATCTGAAAGTCTTTTAACCAAGGAGAAATTCCTCATCACTCTGGAGAAAGGAGCTAGAAACAAAAGTTTGGATTTACATCTTTTATTTAAAATGGTCTATTCCCCGTCCTTTGATTCCTTTTTTTTTTTTTTGACTTTGCTTTATCATCGACATTTTTTTGGACATGTACACACATTCTATGAGAATCCATCTACATCAACTGGGTTGGGAGACTTTTTTCTGCACAAACATGGTATAAGAGTAAATATGACATAAAAATGACAACACTACTGTGACAACAGGAGCGTCACAGCAAGAAAGCAGACATTAATTTTAAAAATCAGGACTTAACTAAATGGAAAAGGCAAATACTTATTTATATAATCTAAGCCCCCACCCTCCCAATCCCCTGAAACTAGGAGCGTTATATTCAGAGTTGAGTTTGCTCTTAACTGATTAGGACACACTGTATTTTTAAAATTTTAATTTGTATTTTATTTTGTATTAATAATTTCAAATGTTTATAATACCAGTAATTTAAATATTAATGAACTTTTAGGAGTAGGTTGCATTGTTAAAACCTTGTTAAGACAGCATTAGAAATAGATTTCACTTTTCTCTCAGTTCTGAGACTGTGGAAAATGAAATTGATGTTGTATGTCTAGTCTTAAAATCCTTTAATGGGAAAGTTGCAATGCTGTTGGTCCCACCACGTCTTGTGCCGTGTGGGGATTCTAATGGGACCGATACAGTAAAACACACATCAAAACCAACACCTGGTGTTCGGTGTGATGAAGGCATTCTACCGTGTTAGTAAAGCCACAAAACCAAAGCATTCATGGGTTCAGTATGTGTGTTCACCGTATTCACATGCAGATCACACAGCTGAGGATGGAGCCTGTGAGCAGTGACTCGATGAAGCTCCACCCCACCCCCGGTCCCTCGCCTCTCCTGTGAGGTGGGCACACGGGCTGGGTAGCAGCGAGCCCCCACCAGCTCATGGGGCCATCTTGGTGGATGACAAAACTCCCCTTGACTTTAGTTTCTCCACCTTTCACGTAGGCATCAGCCTGTCTGTGCAGGTATCAGGTAAACAGGTGATGCAGGTGCAATGAGACACAGATCAAAGTTTTCCAAAGTGAAAACTGATGTTGAAATGTAGGGTCCAGTTGAGTTTAATTTTAGTAGATACTGGGTGACCTGTGACTTGACTCATCTGAACCTTTTTTTTTTTATCACCAGCAACTGGGGGAAAGACAATACTAAACTCAAAAAGAGTTGTGAGGATTAAAGAAAGTAACACACACTGTGAAGTCTATGAAAAATGTAGGTTGATTTTTATTGCCCATGGACTATATAAAGAAACATGATAAGTTGTGTGCAATTTATTCCCATGACCACATTCTGAAATTCAGATCAATCTCAACGTCCCTTCAAAACTTGAAGATTTTCTTCTGAAACTGTACACACTTTGCATTGAAATGAATACAGCTCCTGCAGGATTGAGCAACACAGTGGAAAACCTCAGAGAACTCTGGGGCACCTGGGCAGGACCCAAACTACTCTCACAGGAGGTCAGAGGTCCCCAGCTGAGCATCGCATTTCCATGCATCCATTCCACACAGCAGCCCAACATCCCATCACAGACCAACACACACAGGACAGGGAAAGTCACAATGGTTCTAATGGCAATGAGCCCATCTGGTGGGATCAACACCTTCTTCTGATCCCTGGACTTCTGTGTCTAAGGTCCACTCCGAGATCACAGTTTCCCGGGAACATTTTCAGTGGTACGTTTGAGCTCCTTTCAAACCCCTACATGCAAACTCGGCTCAACGTTGTCGAGCGGCTCCAGGTGTTAAGGTTGAGGTCTGCACTGCAGAGTCCACCAAGACACAGCAGGTGCTCTGTGGGCGATGCTGATGGTTTAGAGGCAGAGGTGACTGTGCTCGTGGCATGTGGTACCCACGCTGGCCACAGACAGGTAGAGCTTCCCATCCGGACATGCACAGACTTCGTAGAGCCCCGGGGAGCTGCCCACGGGCCCATGGCTCCCCAGAGCCAGCTCGGGCAAACACACAGTTTCTGCGTCGAGCAGAAGCTGCTTGGGAGAGAGCAAGACAAGACCTGGTCAAAGAGGAGGGAACATGACAAACACAAAACTCGAGTGCTCCAAATGTTCCAAGTTCTTTCTCTGCATAGAAAATGAAGTAGGCACCTGCCTCGGCTGAAGTCACAATCCGATGACCTGATTCTTTCAAAGCCTATTTCTAGTTTCCATCTGGGCAGGGGGGTAAATATTCCTTAGGAACTGGAGGGAAATCTCTTTTTTTTTTCTTTTACTCATTGCACTAGGCCAGCTAGGAAAGTGTATGATGTAACACTCCTTGAAGACCTTTCAGAGTTATCTGGCCAAAATAATACCATTTTTTGATTCCCATTGACCTTGTGTTCCACTTTAACCTTCAGCTTCTCCTCGTATTAGGATAAAGTACAAGCTGCCGAAGTTGACTCATCTTACTCATTTTACCTTGAGAATGCTGAAATTGCTCATGATATTATTTTCCTAGGAGAGGCAATTAAATTCATCGTAATGGCTAACAACCATTTCTCCAGCTTTTAAAATTTTATTTGAAACTCTGTTGCCTTCTATTAGATACAGGAAGCAGGTGACACAAAGACAACTAAAATAAGAGGGAAGCCACTGGACTTTTTGTTCCTAGGGAGATACAGTTGAACCAAGATGCACACAAATGGCTGTTGACTGAGTTTTGAAAATCTCTTGACAGCTCAAAGAAATCAGAGTCATAGCACAGAGCAACCAAGCCTGAGCCCTGGCAGGGTGCTCACTTATCAGAACGAACTAAACGACGTCTGGGAAGTGCCCACATGCTTCCTCGCCAGCAAGGTTGAATCCCGCCTTTGTTTTATGCAGCCCTGGTCCCGTCAGGCCAAGCTCTGAATACACTGGTGTCCTGGGATGCTGACGTCTCTGCAGAAAGCGCAGGGTGACAGTACAAGTGCATGGCAGGCAGGCTTTGCCCTGGGGTCTGGGTCACCGTCAGAGCAGGAAGTCAAATGGGTCTTATGTTTTTTGGAGCAGAACCTATATACGTTATTGACTAATGCTCTGCTGCTGCTGCTGTTAGTTACTTAGTGTTAGTCGGACACTAAGTTGTGTCTGACTCTTCGTGACCCACGGGCTATAGCCTGCCCGGGCTCCTCTGTCCATGGGATTTCCCAGGCAAGAATACTTGGGTTGACATTCTCTTCTCCAGGGGATCTTGCCAAGCCAGGGACTGAACCTGCCTCTTGTGGTCTCCATCTGCAGCCTCAACCACACCCCTTCTTAATATTAAATTCATATCAGTTCAAAATTATCTTTCTGCATTGATGTCTCTTAGCCCTATGACATTGTGAAGTAAATACTATTTCCTGTACTTGACAAATGAGGAGAGAGGCCCAGAGAGGCTTGTTAATGTCCCTGATTCAAACAGGTAATTGGCAAATTGATCTCACACTAGAAGGATCAATAAATAGTAGGAAGCCTGTGCCTTGCTGCCCATTCTGAGAGGGGGTCTTATCAGGGATGTTTTATTTCTGGACTGGAAGTTCCAGAGTTTTCTTTATTGCAGTTCTTATTTTTCATATTTGACTTTCACTGAACCAGGACTTGATGTGAGTGAGCACCCTGGGTGGTAAAAAAAAGAGCTATCACTTCCAGGTAACCCCCAGTGACAGTTCTGCTGAGAGGGTCACTCGGAAGTGGCAGGATGGGCATTCTTTGAGAGTTCTGAATGTCCAGTACTTTTTCAAAGTTGAAAACAACAAGAGACTTGATAGCACAAATGCCAAAGAAAGCAGTCTGGATCCAACAGAGACTGCTTTTAACCTTTCTTGACTTTTCTTTCAGTGTTAAATTTTTTCCCTCTTTCACATTTTCTGTGACGCCTTTCATGATGTCTCTTTACAAACTGTAATTTGCTGATGCCTTATTGGACGTGAATGTCATCATTACTTAGTGGATGTGAGGCTTGTACAATGGGAGCACCCACCACCCACCGTCCACTGGACTTACCGTCCCATCACTGCTCTGAAGGAGGATGTCCATCTGGGTAAGGGCCTCGATCTTCCCCGCAGGGGCTTGAATGTGAACGCCTTTTGGGGCGTCCATGCTGAGACTCCGTGTCGGAGATTCTAGTCTGAAATGAGGGAAGGAAACCAAGAAAAAATGGCCTAAAAGATAGCCACCCCAGGAATCCCCCAACCAATGGAGAATATACTATATATTTTACTGATTATATTCTTAGAGAACAAAAATCTTAGAGAATATAATCAGTAATATTATAGAGAATATAATCAGTAAGACATAGTATCTTACAAAAGAGATAGAGACATATAGAGAATATAATCAATAAGATATATAGTATATTCACTCATTCTTTTTAAAACTTTTAAAAATTAATTTATTTTAATTGGATGCTAATTCCTTTACAATATTGTGGATTTTGCCATACATTGGGAGCCTGGCATGCTGCAGTTCATGGGGTTGGACCGAACAGCTGCTGTTCAGTCACTAAGTCATGTCCAACTCTTTGCAACCCCATGAACTGTAGCATGCCAGGCTCCTCTATCCTTCACTATCTCCCAGGGTTTGCTCAAATTCATGTCCATTGAGTTGGTGATACCATCCAACCATCTCATCCTCTGTCGTCCCCTTCTCCTCCTGCCCTCAATCTTTCCCAGCATCGGGGTCTTTTCCAGTGAGTCAACTCTTCCCATCAGGTGGCCAAAGTATTGGAGCTTCAGCTCCAGCATCAGTCCTTCCAATGAATATTCAGGGTTGGTTTTCATTGATAAATCCAGAAATAAAGTGCAGTAAAGAACTTAACTTTCCATCAATGAGAATATATGAAATTAGTATCCTCTGAAAACTGATGCAAACGTTAGACCATCCCAGCCCTGTGCAGCAGCTCCAGACAGTGTGGTCAGCATCCACGACATGCCACACCAGAAGAAAGTGCTACTGGTGAATATCTCTGGAAAACTATTTTTTTTAGCCAAAATCCAAACTTCTTTGGGAAAAAGAGAAATTTAAGGGCAACACATTCATCTGTTACAGGTTCACAAAAATTTGGACTTTGTTGTTTGCTTTTTTTTTTTTTTCCATTTGGGAAGATTACAGGGCACATGCAGCGATTTCTCCTGGAAAAAATGATTAATTAATGGAGTTTATAGACAAGGTGGAGACTGGCCTCAGCAGGCCTTGTTTCTGTAAGATTCAGCAGCAGCTCCTTGTGATTTAGTCACAGATATAGAACCAGGAATACAGGAGCAGGGGACTTCTCTTATTTGCTTCTGTCTGGAAACGACTGATGGCATTTCCACCAGATGGCCCAACAGGATCACTGGACAGGCTTTTCAGCTGGTCCAACCCGACTCAACCAAAAGGCGAAACGCTGACTTGCTTGGAATGTTTAAAGGTCCACGAGAAGGAGAAAAGGACCCATCCCACTGCAGGGTCAGAGTACGGTGCAGGTGGTAGAAGAAAGAAAGGGTAACATTTAAGAGGCGAGAAGTACCTGTTAATGAATTTGCATCTGAGGTGACTGATCAGCTTAAAAAAAAATTTCTTAATGGACGTATAGTTGATTTATAATGTGTTAATTAATTTTGGCTGCATAGAAAATGACTCAGTTATATATACATATGTATAATCTTTTATATTCTATTCCATTATAGTTTATCACAGGATATTGAGTTCCCTATGCTATACAGTTGTTTATCCTCATTGTTTATCCATCCTATATATAATAATCTGCATCTGCTAACCCCAAACTCCCAATCCTTCCCTCCCCAACCCCCTTGGCAGCCACCAGTCTATTCTTTATGTCCTTGAGTCTGTTTCACGGACAGTTTCATCTCTCTCATATTTTAGATTCCACATATAAGTGGTATCCTATATTATTTGTCTTTCTCTGTTTGGCTTACTTGACTTAGTATGATAATCTCTAGTTGTATCCATGTTGCTGCAAATGACATTTTGTTCTTTTTTATGACTGAGTGGTACTGATCAACCTTTAAATCAGGTGGATTACTCCCTTTAATTGGCAAGTTTTCTCATCTATCAGTATTTGTTATGGAAAATAAAGCTTCCTTTTCTTATGTACCTCTCAGTATGTAAGATCTGACCTGTTATACATGTTAAAATATGACTTTGAGTGTTAGAAGCAGAGATATTTCTGGAATTTATTGGTCAGGTTCTGTTGGGTTTAGGTGTTGGGGGAAACATGCTGGTACCTACATGAGCCTGGTCTGCAGATGGAGGCCCCTTCTGGCCACTGCTAACTGCCTGTGTGTTTCCTGCCTGGACTGATGGAAGACAGCAGAGGGGAAGAAGAAGGGTGTGAGCACCCTGCACCGCTAGGCCCATTTCAGGGACCCTGGCGAAGGTAAGTCCATTGCCAGGGTCATTCTCAAACCACAAGTGACCTCAACAGGACCAATGACTAGCTGTTAACGTTCTTACAATGCAATGCTCCTAGAGGCAGACCTTGTCCCCTCTGCATCATTTCTATCCTTGAAGACAAAACATTTCAATTCAGCACAGGTTTAGACCCATATTACCAAAAAGGCTGAGATGAGAATGCTCTGAGCTACACATTTCCATGAATGCATTCAACATGGTCAGATATCAAAGACCTAACGTTCACATGGAAAAATAAGCAAGAACAGACAGAGAAATGGTGAGAGAGAAAAACTCTGAGAGGGTGTGTGTATGTATGTGTGTATGCATATGTGTGTGTGTGTGTGTGTGTGCACGCACACATGTGCTTAGTCCTACCAGATACTGAAATATCTTCTCAAGATCTATGAGATATCTCTGGGCATTTCATACACACTAGGTTGTAGCTTGCAATCTCAGTCTCCATAAAATATTCAAGTTCCAGCCCCTAGTCTCTGTGGAATCCTGATTTCTCCTTGAGTACCCCTGACTTAGCTTCCACTCCACCATAGGCTTCCCAGGTAGTGCCAGTGGTGAAGAACCCACCTGCAATGCAGGAGATGTACGAGACCTGGGTTCGATCCCTGGATTGCGAGGATCCCCTGGAGGAGAGCATGGCAACCCACTCCAGTATTCTTGTCTGGAGAATCCCGTGGACAGAGGAGCCTGGTGGGCTATAGTAAATGGGGTTGCAAAGAGTCAGGCATGACTGAGCTACACATGCACTGACAATGAATTTTCTACTTGATTACTGGGACCTGGGAATGAATGGGCTTCCTTGGTTTCTACTTAAGTAATATTTATAAACTCTATTAAGGAAACCAATATTTACAAGTGTTTGAAATGGGAACAGGTACTCATGTCTGTTCATTGTACTGATCTAATGAAGAAACATATGTGTTACTATGTCCTAGGCATGGTTTCTGCCATCACATCCCTACTGGGTTTTAGGGACTTTGCAGTTTGCCCCACTGTGTCCACATTTACTGATTCCTTAAGTTTCCATTCAAGAGCTTTCTTATCTGTGACTTCATCTCAGATCACCCTAGGAAGAGTTATACTATTTCTCCTACGCCCTCACTATCGTTTTGCACCTTCATCATCGTGATGAATGATGCCGTTGTAACTTGTTTGCACGTTTCTTTCTCCCAACAGACTTAAACTCACTAAGGTCAGGGACCATGCCTTTTATCACTGTGGAACCAGTGGTATATCTATATATCTATATATATATATAGATAGATATATGTAGATATATAGATATAGATATATAGACTCTGGCACATAAACACACTTTATACATTTTTGCTGAATTTTTAAAATTTTTTTGAAAAAAGATTGAATTATATCATGCATGAATGACAAGTAGCTTTAAAATGGTATGTTACAGTTCATACTTCTCTTGAGGATGACCTTGCCCTAAGAAATGTAAATCTAGCTTAAATACAAGTCAATTATATATTTTTCTTAAAGAAAATAACTGTTACCCTTTCATAACTACCATTTGAGCAAATACCAAAATTTAAATTGTGATATTTAAACATATATATTTCAGAGGTTTTTTTTATAAATGATCTTCATGATCTTAAACCAACAACATCCACAAAGTTTTCAAAGTCAGTTAAGATATTCCAGAATTGATCTCCTTTTACTCAGGCCAGGAATAGTAATGCTACTGGACATAGACATAAAAAAGGAAAGACAGGTGATAGCAAGAACTCACAGAAGACAATACACCTCTCATGCACTCAGTCAGCAGAGTATGGTGGTAAATAAGGGAGTAAATCACTGAAGGGTTTCCCTGGGTGGTGGAAGTGGGAACAGAGCGTACACTGACTTTGGAGCCAGAGCTAAGCTGAGTCATGAGTTGGCTGCTTTTTTTCCTTTGTGCCTTAGAATGTGCTCCTACCTTGAGTTCAGTGTTCTCTTTTGTAAAATGGGGATTGAGTTGATGCTTTTCAGGTCAAGCTGACGAGGAAACGAAATAAATTATGTGACAGTACAGACACATTTCCTGGCAGTGGCAGGCATTTGAAACCTGTTAGTTCATGTCTTCCATCCAAACCCCATTCCTCAAGCAATTCCTTATAATTTCATTATGTTCTCAATCACTCTGGTTATAACACTTGGGTTATGGAATGCTCCCTTAGTGTCACGTTTTAGAAAGCCAGAGAATACTCTTCTGCCATTTCTTTTTCAGCAAAGGCCTTCTGTAGAATCCAGCAAATTTATTTCCTAATGGGAAAAATGTAAGACGAATTGTTTAATTATGAGGCCTATACTTTTAAAACAGTGACGTTCATTGTGAAGAGTGGTTTGGTAGCTCTACAATTTATATTATTTTTAATAACAAAATTTTTCTCATGGCATTACTTTTTAAAGATATTGAATCATGTTTCTTTCCTACAAAAATAAAGTGTTCTTCTTCCCTAACTATAATAATTCTATAATATTGATCTCATGGTCCTTTATCAAAATCAATGAAACTGTTACAATTTAATTATAGTCACAATCTAATTTTATGCTGCAAATGTTCTCTAAGTGGGTAAGATGAATTGAACTCTCATTTGCTTTAGATTAATGTTTAATTAGACATTAACATTAAGAGAAATGCCAAATTTCCTAACTCTAATTCCATTTGGTATGAATATGTAGTTGGTATAATAATGATAATAAAAATGATTATTTGTATTCCACTTTCAGTTTACAAAACATTTTTAACTTCATAGCTTATTAAATCTTCCCCAGAACACTGTGAGATGTATAATACTACCAATGTTTTATGAGAAAATATAGTCTCTGGCCAAAAAGCTGGAGTTCCTACTGTACATTATTCCCCTATCATACATAATATATTAGAATATGCTAGCTGACCTGAATATTTTTCAAGTTCAAATTCTAAATGTGACTTTAAGTGACACTGTAGACTTGAAGACACTTGCTTTTAAAACTATTGTTTGTTTTTGTTATAAAGTACAAATATACTGTTGGAATAAATAGTTACAGCAGTAAAGGACATTCAGTAGCCAGTGATACAGTGAAATACACACAGGCATACAGAGACTCTGTATAAAGAATAAACACACATGGAGCAAAGCGATTTTATATATTCTGATATTACGTAGCGATATACCAAAGGTTGAGGATATTATGCCAGTTGCAAAAGGACATATACTATATGATTCCACTCAAACAAGGTGCCAAGAATCCTCAGATTCATAGACACAGAGGGCAGGGTGGTGGCATGCAGGGTCTGGGGAGGGAGACAGGAGTTATTATTTAAGGGGCGTGGAGTTTCAGTTTTTCAAGATGGAAAGAATTCTGGCGATTGGAGGTAGGGGTGGTTGACAGCAGTGAGCCTACCATAGGCTTTGAACTGTACGTTTAAAAGTGGTTAAGAAGGTAAAATTTATGTGTTTTTTACCATAGTTGAAAAAAGATATATCAAAGGTTTCCAATTTCTTTGCATATATGGATTCATCACGTTCTCAGTTTTGTAATGCTCTTGTCTACTCACAGTGCACATATTTTAAAAAATGTAATATAAGCTGAAATTTCTGAGAATGCCTTTTGGACATTTTAAGCCCACATAGGACACAATTCTCTTTTCACTAAAAGGTGCAATTATTTTACCTCAGCTGATGATTTTCAGGGAAAAATGATGGGTTGGTGAGCTGAAGCGTGAGGACAAGGAGACCTCCATGGGTGTCCAAGGTAAGGAGGGGCACCCCAGTCAGGTGGGACAATGTGTGTGGGAGTGTGGAGCTTGGAGCTGGCAGCTGCTCAGTCTCAGGACGAGTGAGGAGGGAGACGCCCAGGATGCCAGTCTAGGGAGCCCCACGGAGACTAGGTCACAGGCCAAGTGCCCCGAGAGCATTCTGAACTTTCCTGTGGCTGACATGGAATCAACGAAGCATTTTTACCCTGCTACATTTACACCCCTACTTTAATAGCAACGCTATTCACAGTAACCAGAAACTGTGGAAACAACCTCCAATGTTCATCCACAGGTGAATGGATAAAGAAGATGTAGTATATTTACACATACTCACACACACACACACACACACACAATGGAATATTATTCAGTTACACAAAAGAGTGAAATAATGCCGGATACAGCTATATGGATGGATCTAGAGACTATCCTACTCTCTAGTACATATTCTAGTCAGACAAAGACAAATGCCATAGGATATCACTTATGTGTGTTGTGGGCTCAGTCACGCCCGAGTTATTGCAACCCTTTGGACTGTAGACCACCAGGCTCCTCTGTCCATGGGATTTTTCAAGCAATAGTCTAGGATATTGGAGTGGGTTGCCATGTCATCCTCCAAAGGATCTTCCCCACCCAGGGATCAAACCCGCGTCTCCCGTGTCTCCTGCATTTCAAGCAGATTCTTTACCTGCTGAGCCATCAATGATGCCACTCGTATGTGTAATCTAAAATATGACACAATGAACTCATCTACAAAACAGAAACAGACCCACAGACATAGGGAACAGACCTGTGGTTGTCAAGGGGAAGAGTGACGAAGGAAGGAAAAAAAGAATGGGAAGTTGGGGGTAAAAGAAGCAAAACGCCAAAAAAGGAAAAAAAAAAACGGCCTAACGGAAAACAAAAGGAAACGAAGTCAAAAACCCGGGGGAAAACAAAAAAAAAAAAAAAAAACAAAAACTTTAAAGAAGGAAAAGAAAAAAAAGGTCCAAAACAAAAAATTAAAAAAGGGTAAAAAGAATAAAATTTAAGGGAAATTTTAACAAAAAAAAAAAAAAAAGCTAGGAAAAAATAAATAAAATAGTGGCATTTAGCCACATCCCTGAGGTTTCCTGGAGGAGGAAATAGTCCACCAGAACAGTGCAGGCTGCCCTGGGGCTGGGGCAGGGCTGGTCACAAGGCCTGCGTCTCAGAGATGGGAGGACGGGACATGCACAAGGATGTTCACCCTTCCTCTGGATTCTGTCAGAAATGACCTGTCATGGGTGGAAGGTCATCAGAATAAAGACAACTTAAGGAATAAAGAACCACCTGGTAGTATCTGCTGAAGTGTTACTCCAGCACATAACCAGTTTGTTTGAAGTGTTACTCCAGCACATAACCAGTTTGTTCACATCTGAACAAAACTCTTACCTCAGATCCTGGAGTGGGTCAGGTCTTACGAGGGGTGTCTCCACCGAATGTTCAAAAAGAGCCCCTTCAGGCCCTAAACACAAACCAAAGGTGCATCTTTCTTACAAAAGTAAACAATGGTCAACAAATCAAGCCTTTATACTGCATATTATGGGACACATAGGTTTTGATTGTTGACTTCGTATAGACGCTTGAGTTGTGGGACAAAATAGGCATAACTGCTTTCCTACTTTTCCAAGAACACCATGATTTTACTAGGCTCTTATAAACAAAATATGATTTTTAAAGAAGTTGCATATACCCAGGTTTATTTTAACTTTTTATTTTGTATTGGGCTATAGCCAATGAACAATGTTGTGGTAGTTTCATGTGGATTTACATATGCATGTATCCATTCTCCTCCAAACTCCCCTCCCATCCAGATAACATTGAACAGAGTTCCCTGGGCTATACAGTAGGTCCTTGTTGGTTATCCATTTTAAATATAGCAGTGTGTACATGTTCATCTCAAACTCTGTAACTATCCTTTTCCCCCATCCTTCTCCTCCCCCCAGCAACCATAAATTCATCCCATAAGTCTGTGAGTCTCTTTCTGTTTTGTAAGTAAGTTCATTTGTATCATTTCTGTTTAGATTACACATATAAGGGATGTCATATGATATATCTTCTTCTCTGTCTGACTTACTTTACTCAATATAACACTCTTTAGGTCCATCCATGTTGCTGCAAACAGCATTATTTCATTCTTTTCAATGGCTGAGTTATATTCCATTGTATATGCATACCTCATCTTTATCCATTCCTCTGTTGATGGACACTTAGGTTGCTTCCATATCGTGGCTACTGTAAACAGTGCTGCAGTGAACACTGGGGTGTATGTATCTCTCCTACTCAGGCTTATTTTAAAGCCAGAAAGCAACTGTTGTTTAGTCGCTAAGTTCTGTCCGATTCTTTTGTGACGCCATGGACTGTAGTCAGCCAGGCTCCTCTGTCCATGGGATTTCCCAGGCAAGAATACTAGAGTGGGTTGCCATTTCCTTCTCCAGGGGATTTTCCTAACTCAGGGATCGAACCCAAGTCTCCTGCACTGGCAGGCTTGTTCTTTACCACAGAGACACCTGGGAAGTCCCCTAGTTAATAATACCATATGGTATATTTGAAAGTTGCTAAGAGAGTGCGTCTAAAAGTTCTCATAACAAGAAAATAAATTTGTAAGTATGTGTGGTGATGGACATTAACTAGACTTAGTGTGGATCATTTCACGATATATATGAATATTGAATCACCATATTGTACAGCTGAAACTAATGTTGTCTGTCAATTATTCCTTAATCAGAAATAAAGAGCTATACCTACCAGTTACTCGAAGTTTATCTGTACCAACCATGACTTTCTCTTCATCCACAGTGAACAGTGGTTTGCCATCCTTGGAGTGGATCTGAAACTGCTGACTCTGGACCTCTACCATTTGGGGACCTAAAGAATTAATTAAAACAGCTTATTATAAAGTGTTTATGCAGTGTTAAAAACTCTACTTTTACATGTGCTGTCACGAAGTAGTACCAAATCACTGAACATTTAGGATTTGTCACCAATTTTTTTTTATTCTATGATTAAATTTTAAGTCCTAACCCTAAATCTTATTAAAATTAATTTACATCACATGTGTGTTAGTCTATATCAAATATATGTATGAATGAATTATTTAAAAATTATTTTTTTCCAGTTTTTAAAACTTGCCAAAAATAATATAATTCTTCTATGCAGATTACTTAAATTGCTATTCTTTTGCGTATTGACAACTGAGGATTTTGTTTTCTGAAATATGAGATTTGTGAAAGACCATCTCAGTGACCACAGTTAACCCAGGCAATGAGTCACTGGGATTCTCACCTCTGCCCTACCCCTCACCTCCTACTCCTTGGAGAAAACAGACATCACCATGGAAATACATCCTCCAACTTCTGCCCTTCCCCTTCATCCCAGACATTTCTGTCTCCTTCATGTCTTCTGTTTCAGGGACAGGGCATCACTTTGCCCTCCAAGCTGACTCCTTTCTCATGAAGTTTAGACCCACTGTGAGCAACCCATGGCTGACTCAGCAGATGTTTGTTTCATGGGTGCTTCTAGTGCCAGGCATTGGTGATGCTGTACCTTTGGTGGGTGAGATCTCGTTCAATCTCTCTCATTGGTGCACTTGGGTATCCATTATTCTATGTCTCCTAATTTCTCTGTGCTTCTTGTTCTTCCAACCCTGCACCTTAACCCAGCATGATGGATTAATGCTGGATTAATCTCTTTAGAACACAGCATTCAGCATTTGTTCAAGTGTTCCTGAATTCTTTTGTTGGCTCTGTAGTCTTATCTAGAAAAGTAAGTTTATTGTCAAATGGATACCTAAAGCTTTTGTGTATGTGTCCCTGTGTCCCTCACAGTATTCATTCAAGTTGAGGGGGAGCTGCTAGAAATTAAATAGAAGTTTTTCAATTAATACATTAATCCGTTTTGGATATTGTCACAATACATATTCTGATTTGTACCTCAAAACCCTCCACACACATGCTTCATTTAAATATGTGTGTGTGTGTGTGTGCATGTGTTATAAAGTGGAAGTCATTTTTTTCCCCCTCTATGTTTTATTTCTGTTCTCTTTAGGAAGGCTTGCTTTATTTTTTGTTAGTTGCCTGTATTTTTGCTCTTCTTAGCTTTCCCCCAAACTCAGTTACCCTGTGATTCAGTGTCACTATTTACCTCTTCTGGGTCACTGATATATCTGATATATTTATCATATAAACATTGATCTGCATTAAGTGATGAATTCGAAGTTATTTGAGCTTAAAATCAAGATGAAAAATCTGGAGTAATTTATCCAGTAAGAGCTCACTGTTTAGCTCCCTGGAGGTTCATATAACAATTTGAGGGAAATTTATTAAGTAAAAGGTCTCAACTAAATGACATATTTTTTTTTCTGTAACCATTACTTCATATATATTGTTGAAATAGTCAACAAATGAGTTTAGCTGCATAGTTTTCATGAGTAACAGAACCAACTAAACCCTCAAATCAAAGAAAATGCAGGAGAGTGAGTCTCTTCCATTCAATACAAATTTCTTGTATATTTCTTATGATCAAGGTTCTGTGCTAAGAATTGAATATATATGCATGAGTGAGATGCAGATGGAATTCACAGTCCACTGAGGACAACAGCATGTAAGCCCAGGGCAATGTGATAAGTGCCATGAGATGAGCGTGCACAGTGTTCAGTGAGAACTCGACAAGGAATTCCTGTCCCTCCTGGGGGGTCAGGGGTGACACTCTGGGGGGAAAATGTCTGGGCTGACTTGGAAGCATCGGTGTTTCCCTGATGAGGGGAGAATGAGATCTTCCAGGTAGAGGGGCTACCCCAGCAAAGACACAGAAGTGAATAAAATTCNGGACATAAATAACCAGGAAAGGGCTCCAGTCCTGTTTACAGAAGCACTGTGGATGAACCTCTTGTTTTAAAAAATTTGTTTTATTGAAGTAGAGTTGATTTACGATATTATAACTTCTGCTATAAAGTGATTCAGTTATATATATATATATATTCAGTTATATATATATGTATATATACACATATACATACATATATTTTCATATTCTTTTCCATTACGGTTTATTGTTGTTTTTGTTGTTTAGTTGCTAAACCATGTCCGACTTCATGTTGCAACCTCATGGACTGTAGCCCGCCAGGCTCCCCTGTCCATGGGATTCTCCAGGCAAGAATACTGGAGTGAGTTGCCATTTCCTTCCCCAGGGGATCTTCTTGACCCAGGTATCAAACCCATATCTCCTACATTGACAGGTGGATTCTTTACCACTGAGCCACCAGGGAAGCCCTATGGTTTATTACAGGATATTGAATATAGCTCCCTGTGCTATACAGTATAACCTTGTTGTTCATGCATTCTCCAGGTAATAGTTTGCATCTGCTAACCCCAACCACCCAATCCATCCCTCTTCCCAGTCCCCTCCCCCATGGCAACCACAATCTGTTCTCTATGTCTGTAAGCCTATTTCTGTTTCATAGATAGGTTCACTTGTATCATATTTTATTATTTTTTTTAGATTCCAAATATAAGTGATATCATATGGTATTTGCCTTCCTCTTTGGGACTTACTTCACTTTAGTATGACAACCTCTAGGTTCATTCATGTTGCTGCAGATGGTATTATTTTGTTCTTTTCCATGGCTGAATAAATAGTATTCCATTGTGTATATGTACCACATCTTCTTTATCCATTCATCCACTGATGGACACTTATGTTGTTTCCATGTTTTGACTATTGTGAATAAAGCTGCTAACCCCTTGATTTTTCTTCCTGACTTTCTTTGTTGAAATTCTCTCTGTTTTGGCTGCTAAATTTTGAATCTGTTTCCCACCCATGATCTTCTCCATGACCCCAAATCCCTCATGGTGTAGCTCAGACTTATACCTAAACCCCTGTGCACTTTGGAGCACCCTAGACAGGCCATCTTACCCCATTCCATCTCCTAAAACTCTCTCCCAGCTGGTTTTTCAGCCCATCCCATACTGCACAATCTTTCATTCACTCCTCTATTCATTCATTCAATAAACATTTATTGAAAACACCTACTAAGTATATGAGTGGCCTGAATTAAGAACTGTGATAATGACTGAATAGAGTAACCTAACTACAATATGTGAATATTACATAATCAAGTTATTATATATGTACCTTCTTTGGAATATTATGTAGCCATTAAATAATGCCATTGAAATAGCATATTAAAAAGCAGAGGTAATACTTTGCCAACAAAGGACTGTCTAGTCAAAGCCATGGTTTTTCCAGTAGTCATGCATGGATGTGAGAATTGGACTATAAAGAAGACTGAGCACCAAAGAATTGATGCTTTTGAACTGTGGTGTTGGAGAAGACTCTTGAGAGTCCCTTGGACTGCAAGAAGATCCAACCAGTCCATCCTAAAGGAAATCAGTCCTGGGTGTTCATTGGACGGACTGATGTTGAAGCTGAAACTCCAGTACTTTGGCCACCTGATGCAGAGCTGACTCATTTGAAAAGAGCCTGATGCTGGGAAAGATTGAAGGCAGGAGGAGAAGGGGATAACAGAGGATGAGATGGTTGGAGATGGCATCACCGACTCAGTGGGCATGAGTTTGAGTAAACTCTGGGAGTTGGTGATAGACAGGGAAGCCTGGCGTGCTGCAGTCCATAGGGTCACAAAGAGTCAGACACTACTGAACGACTGAACTGAAGTGATACATGTATATGTATAACTGAGTCATATATATGTATACATGTATACATATGTAATCCAAATATATATTCCTTTCATCATCTGTTTGCTCTTTTGTTATTTCTTCCATTGATACTTATTCTTTCTAATCCTTTTGCTCTCTGTGCAAGATTCCATGGGACCTTGCTTCCATTTGACTATATTCTCTGATCTTATTTGTTGGTCAGATGGGTGTACATGGCTCACCCAAGGGCAGTTGGTTGGACAGAGTGATTGGGCCAATTAGAGTACTTTGTTGTGAGTTCAGAATTGAAGACACTGAAGACTAAGTTGGCTGGTATTGAGAACTATAGTCAACCAGAGGAAGGACCAGAGAGTCCTGTAGAGTTAGGACTGATGTAATCACAATACCCAAGTGAAAATCATGGGCAAACACACACGGAAAGGAAGGAAACATGGTGGTGAGAAGGATGGGTAGAGGAAGAGAGAGGAGGAATTCTTTGACTCTCAGCCCTGGGTCTTTTTTTCCCTGAGTGCAACTATTTTGCTTTCTTTTCTCTGTCTCTGCAAGATTATTTTGTATCCTGCAATAATCACTGTGCTTCTTGTACTACCTTAAATGGTCCTCTATTTCTTGTAATCAAAATAACTTCAATTAAAATACTTCAGACTGTCCTCCCACAAGGTGAACTCACTATGGTCAACACAGCATGATATTTAGGAAACTCATACTCTGATTGCTCATAAATAACTCTGAATACTTTAGAAGAAAAAACCAAATATATCCATTTGGCACAATTGTTTGTGGACCACACACACACTCAAAGCACTCTGGTGAAGCTGAACTTACCCACTTTTAACCTGCCTGTGACTTCTCCTTCTGTGTTGCGTGCATTCATGGTCACATTCTGTGTAGACTGCAGAAGCAGAGATGAGTCCTAAAAATGGATTTACACAGTGAGCTAAATGTATACTATCTAAAATGACTATACTTTTATATTTGTATATAAATTGAGGATTTATAGAAAATAATTTTTCCAATATCACAGATCCTATGAGCTTATAAACTGTGACTAAATTTTTTTAAACTTGGATTATATTATGTGAATGGGGTAAACGCATTATTTCCCCACAAAATATAATAACCTCGTGGGTTTACAGAGCCCATCTACATTTTATAATACACCAGGTCCATTCTCAATGTGAAGATCTGAAACAATCAAGTTTTAATCAGTATTTGGTCTTTTCAAAAAAATTTAAATTTCATTTCTCACAATTTATGTCCAGGATATGATATATTTTAAAAGATAAATAAGAGAATGGTTAGCTCTTCTATAATAAAGACCGTATTACTTATTTTCAAAACACAAAAGCCTTCTCACAATTTCAAGAGCTTTTAAAATCTGTTGGATGCCTACGCTTTTAGAGCTATTTGTTGGAAGATAAAGTGGCTTTATGAGCATGTAAGTGGGGTCATAGTCTGAATGGGGGCTTTGTTTCACAGAAGATTGCTGGCTCTTATATAAACAGTTTTCTTCAAAAGGAATGCAGTAATTTGGCTGTTAGCTTCAGGTGGGTTTATGTCACTCAGAGGGAACCAAGTATCTTCTAAAGTTGTGGAGGAATGATGTGTCTTTTTTTTTTTCCAGAAGGAAAGAAGTTTTAGGAGTGCTTTGGAAGTCTGGCTGGTTAGAAATTCTCCAACTTGCTTTGTGGAAGCACATGGGTTTACCAGTGTCTCACCATTTATCCAGTGGTGTGAGCTTACTACTTGTTTTTGCTTTGTTATGAAATAACTAGCATGATAATAAAAGCTAACAATTCACCGAAGATTTTGACCATCCATCCTCTCGTTTACCTCCACACTTTGAAGGAGGTAGCTTTGATCCTCATCAAAGATGAGGGAACTGAGTTCAAAGAGATTTTTTTTTTCCATTTATTTTTATTAGTTGGAGGCTAATTGCTTTACAACATTGCAGTGGTTTTTGTCATACATTGAAATGAATTAGCCATGGATTTACATGTATTCCCCATCCCGGTGCCCCCTCCCACCTCCCTCTCCACCTGATCCCTCTGGGTCTTCCTAGTGCACCAGGCCCGAGCACTTGTCAAAGAGATTAAATGATGGTTCTCCCTAAGTCACAGCCAGCAAGTGACAGTTCCATGATGGAGCCCGGTCTGCAGGTGCCAACGTTCAGGCTCTTGTTTTTTTTTCTTTTGATCATTCTCCCTGAAAGGGAGGACAGGGCCGCAGTCAGGGCTGTGAGGCCCACCCCGGGCATGGACACAGTCAGCTGTCAGGGGAACCACTGCTTTACTCATGGATGCTTTCCAACTCCCCTCTCCCCACTCTTTTTTCTGGCTTCCACTTCAGGGGCTGGAAATGCTAAATGCTTTCTCAGCCTGTCTTCTGGGGTAGGAGATCCAAGTGATACAACTCTGGTCAATGAGATGTAAAAAATCTGCTGGGAGTGGGGCTGGGATTTCTGGGCAAGGTTTTAGGTGTGACCCTGCTGGTCACTCACTGTGTGCCAGGGCACACACAAGGCACATGGCCAGGGAGCCATGCGATGTCAGTGCAGACATCCTTTTCATTAGAAAAGCAAACCATTATTTATTTTTCATAAATTATTTAAACATGTCCTCATTTTCTTACCTCTCTGGAGCGTATTTCTTTGACATACAATGGGAATAAAAACTCAGACTCCCCCTCCAGGCGAAGTCCATCTGCCGTAACATGCAGGTGACCCATGCCTACCTGTTAACAAGAGCAGAGATTCTGTTATTGCTTTCTTTTTCACTTCTTTTATTATCAACTTAAATTATGTATACATTTTCATAGATTTCCTATCGGCCTTTTTCTGCATTTCTCTTAAGCACTTTAATTTATAACTTTAGTTGTTTTTATTCAGTATTCAGTGTTATATTAAATCTTGTAGTTCATTGCTGCATCTTTTCTCACTGTGACTATCTTGTAAAGTAAAAACATTCTGCATTAAGTGAATTTTTTTTCAAAAGGGACACAAAATATTAAAGCATATAAAATTACCCAGCTATCTTGAGAACATGAGGGTGCTTAAAACAGACTCCGAATTCCTTATAATAACTGATTTTTAAGTTACTAAATTATTCATTCCAATCCCAAAGAAAGGCGATGCCAGAGAATGTTCAAACTACTGCACAACTGCACTCATCTCACACGCTAGCAAAGTAATGCTCAAAATTTTCCAAGCCAAAGCTTCAGCAGTATGTGAACCATGAACTCTCAGATGTTCAAGCTGAATTTAGAAAAGGAAGAGGAACCAGAGATCAAATTGCCAACACCTGCTGAATCATCGAAAAAGCAAGAGAGTTCCAGAAAAACATCTACTTCTGCTTGTTGACTATGCTAAAGCCTTTGACTGTGTGGATCACAACAAACTGTGGAAAATTCTTCAAGAGATGGGAATACCAGATCACCTGACCTGCCTCCTGAGAAATCTGTATGCAGGTCAGGAAGCAACAGTGAGAACTTGACATGGAACAACAGACTGGTTCCAAATCGGGAAAGAAGTACGTCAAGGCTGTATATTGTCACCCTGCTTATTTAACTTATATGCAGAGCACNAGGAGATCAAACCAGTCCATCCTAAAGGAAATAAGTTCTGAATATTCATTGGAAGGACTGATGTTGAAGCTGAAACTCCAATACTTTGGCCACCTCATGTGAACAGCTGACTCCTTTGAAAAGACCCTGATGCTGGGAAAGATTGAAGGCAGGAGGAGAAGGGGATGACAGAGGATGAGATGGCTGGATGGCATCATCAACTCGATGGACATGAGTTTGAGTAAGATCTGGGAGCTGGTGATGGACAGGGAGGCCTGGTGTGCTGTAGTCCATGGGGTCGCAAAGAGTCGGAAATGACTGAGTGACTGAACTGAACTGAATTCACTAGTTACTAAGTTTGCTGTTAAATACTGAAATGTGTACTAGAATTTATTGCATATCAGAATGGGGCTTTTAAAAAATCAAGTAAGTTGCATCTGAATGGTAAATATTTATAAACTAGTGAAATTAGAAAAATACAATTTGTAAAATTTTTCCAGTTAATGAATTAAATAATTTTTAAGCAATCATGACACACAATCAACCCCAAACTCAAGATGGCTCCAGTTTTCCTACCATGAAGAGATAATGACGAATGGAAAAACTGCAATGAAAATTCACTGTAAAATCAACACAGTATAATTTACAGTGAAACTATTAAAAAAGGTTAAGAAAAGGTAAATGCTACCTTATTTTAAATGTTATATGTATTTTTTTTGCTACTGAGCATTCTATCCAGACAGGAGACAAACACTAAATGCATGACAGGGAGCTTCTGTTGATGCAATGGGGATGGACTGACAGCATAAACAAAACGAGAACATGATTATCAGGAAAAATAAACACTTACTGGGGAAAACCACATGACTCTAAGAATCCAAATGGTAAGAGCAAAATTCACAAGGAGAATGATGAGCAAAAGAAGGACGAACAAATACAGGCAACGCTTTCTCCAGCCATAAATGCCAATTTTGTAGACAGCCTGGTTCTCTGGCCGCTCTATCTGGGTGCCCTCCGTGATCGTGGTGTATTGTTCACGCACCATCTGCCACAGGTAGGGGGTAAAGAGGGGGTGAGGGAAAAGGGGGGAGGGGTGGGGAAGTGGGAGTGGGGAGAGGGACAAAGGGACAAACAGACGGACAGAGAGATAATTTGTCAATATTGACTGACCATTAGTCCAACTAAACATTTTTTTACCCTAATAACAAATCTCCAAAATTAAGTGATTTTTAAAAACAGCATTGAAGAATACTCTGAAACATGTCATTGTATTCCAGCCACAGTGATAATCTGTCATTCACCATATTAGATATAACAAATTCATTTGAAATCCAGTGATCATATTTCCAGGGCTTCCAAGGTGGCTCAGTGGTAAAGAACCCACCTGCCAATGCAGGAGATGAGAGTTCAATCCCTGACTTGGGAAGATCCCCTGGAGAAGGAAATGGCTACTCACTTCAGTATTCTTGCCTGGGAAATCCCATGGACAGAGGAGCCTGGCAGGCTATGGAGTCCACGGGGTCACAAAAGAGTTGGACATGACTTAGCGACTACAACAACAATCACATTTTCAAGTCTTAATCTATAAACTCAATAAATATACAGCTTTCAAAATTCTGCAGGACTAACTTTGGAATTGAAGCATCAAACTACAACAGTCAAGTGATCGTTCTTAAAAGATTCAGTGGGAGGAAAATCAAGCTGGTACCTATAAGTCTTGTGGAAAAAATTCCAGTTCCTCAATTTTATGCCAAACGATTAGGTTACATCTTCCTTCAGCTACTAAATATTAGTCAGAATTAAAAAGGCTCTTTACAAAATACCAATCACGCCAACATTTGCCTATAATAAAGCTCCCAAGTACCGACCTACTTCAAGAAAGATCAAAACGTGGACGTGTACAAATGTTTACAAACATCCATCATTTTATGTAAATCAGGGTAAGAGTTTTAGTAACAATCTCCACTTTAGGAAGAGATTTTTAAAAGTTGTTCATTCTCCTGTTTACACGAACACACAAAAAGAGCATCAGTCAGTCAGTCAGTTCAGTAGCTCAGTAGTGTCCGATTCTTTGTGACCCCATGAATCGCAGCACTCCAGGCCTCCCTGTCCATCACCAACTCCCGGAGTTTACCCAAACTCATGTCCATCGAGTTGGTGATGCCATCCAGCCATCTCATCCTCTGTCGTCCCCTTCTCTTCCTGCCCCCAATCCCTCCCAGCATCAGGGTCTTTTCCATTGAGTGAACTCTTTGAATGAGGTGGCCAAAGTATTGGAGTTTCAGCTTCACCATCAGTCCTTCCAATGAACACCCAGGACTGATCTCCATAGTTTTGTTTAAATTAAAATTAGAAATTATGATGACTTTTCTGATTGTAAAGGTAGCAAAATGATGAATCAGAACATAAAGTACTCTCCTCTGAGATTTTTTTATGCATTTATTTTTAGGAATGATTTAGAGATGTCCTTATTTAAAATGTCATGGTCTAAAATAATTCTTTAAATCTCTTTCTAACTGAACAGGCATCTTCCCCATGTTCAAACTGATTGTATAAAACGGTGCTCTTCATCACTCAGTATTTTCAAACACTGAGGATTGACAATCTGCATTATTCAAAACCCAAGTGGTTATTAACAGTTTCATGAGGGCATTCTTCACTTACTCATCTTTGACCCCTCCAGTCTTTTTTTATATGAGAAAGTCCATCACCACCCACCCAGGTCTTCAAAGTCTCTGAAGTCATTCTTGTTTCCCCTTCAAGCCCCACATCAACCCCACACCAACTCCACCTTCAGCCTATCTCCTCAGTCTGCCTACTTCTCTCCATTTCCATGGCAACCACTCTGGTGCCAGCCCCTCGAACTCCCTCATCTTCACCACTGCAAACCTGTCTCCCTTCCTCCCCCTCTGGAAGCCTCTCTCTACCCAGCGGCAGGCACGTGAAATAAAAGTCAGTTCCTGTCACCCTACCATGTCAAATCTTCCCATGGCTTTTCCCCACTGAGAACATCCAGGCTCCTCCATCACCTGCCCCCAGTCCTACATGAGAGCCTTTGCTCACCTCTTCATCTGCTACCACAGTGCCCCATCTACTCACAAACAGCCCAGGTGAACCCTCAGGTCAGAACCCACTGTTGGGCAACCTTCCCACCTGTCACCCTCTGCTGGCCCCCTCCTCACCTTCAGCACCAGTTCACAAGTCATCTCCTCCAAGAAGTCTTCCCTGGACACATTCAATCCCATCATATCATATCATTCTGTTATATTAATTTCAAAGCACATGTCATCTAAATAATGGTGGCAAATTCAGACAGTCCATAAAAGATAAGCTCAGAGTCTGAGACTGGATTGGAGGGGTATGGCCAGAGACTCAGAATTCAAAACTATCACATTATTTTTACAATATTGCCAGAGATCAATAAAAACAGGTGTTTTCTAAGCATCAGTGTATATACACATTCTTGCGCACACATACATGTATGTCTTCCAATTGCTACATATTTCTATTCCTATATAGAGCTTACTATTGCTGGTGTAAACCTATCACAAACCTAGCTTAATCCAACATAATCTTATTATCTTTTAGTTTTGGAGGTCACTGTTTGCATCATAACTCACATAATTCCTACATGGTGCCAACATTTAGGAAAATGAAGAGGTTGCCTTGGTAGATGTGACAAAAAGTACATCAATAAGGAAAATTCAACAGTAGATAACTAATGGAGGAAATATTTGCCTTAAAGATAAGACAAGGTTAATACCCTTAGAAAGATAAATAAATCAATACAAGTTGAGCAAAACCATGCACACACATTAAACAAATGGTTAATACACAGTAAAAGATTCTACTTCACCAGGAAACACAAATACAAATTCCACAGGCAGTTTTCAAACAGTAAGGGAAATTTAAAAACTGATTCTAGCCAACATTGGCACACTTAAGTGATATCATATGGATATGTTTGAAAAATGGGCATGGAACTCCTCTGCTGTTGAAAGTGAAAATTAACACCATTCCTCTAGAAGGATATTTGGCACTATGTACTGAGAATCTCAAACAGACAGTAATTTCAATTCTAGAAACGTATTCCAAAGAAACAATCAGGAATGAAAATGAAGACTGACATTTAACGGTATTTGTTTTATGTTATCTATAACGATGAATAACTGGAAAGTAAAGGCTTTCCTAGTGGTTCAGTGGTAAAGAATCTGCCTGCCAATGCAGGAGACACAGGAGACCTGGGTTTGATGATCCCCTGCTAGAGGAAATGGCAACCCACTCCAGTGTTCTTGCCTGGAGGATCCCATGGACAGAGAAGCCTGGTGGGATATATAGCCTGTGGGGTCACGAGAGTCAAGACATGAGTAAGCAACTAAACAACAACAAATAATGATAAGGTTTAAACATCAGAGTAACTAGTTATTGGATTATTATAACATTACAGAATTAACTGCTTGAAAAGCATATATCTTGAATATGCTAGAGAAATGCTAATGGTAGAGTGCTGAATGAAAAACAGAATAGTGAAATACATGTTAGAATATACATCTGTAGAAACAGACTAGAAACAAATTTTAAAATTGTTAACAATAATTTCCCTCTATATTCTACCTTTTTCACTTAAAACTGCATTTCCCAAAAGTCTTTCTGTATTTTTTCAGATTAAAAAAATTGTATATATTTACCTTTTGATATATATATTTCTCTGATAATAGAAAAGCTAACAGAAAATTCACTATACTTGTCCCAACTTTATGACTACATTTAGGATGACCAAGTAATTTAAAAAGTAGTTCCACTTCATCTTTGGTCAGATTGCTTAGCATGACTATATAATAAAGCAAAGTACACAAACTGTAGTTCTCAATTTCATCCAAAGTCACAATCAATACAATTCCCACCATCACAAAGGCCCCTGCTATAAAACACACACACGCACAGAGAGAGTCACAGGTTACAAGGTCATCAAACCGTTCTCTCTTCTCTACAATAGAACTGACTTTTGAAATAAAAGGGCAAGCTGCCATTTAAAAAAGTTCCTTACAGAATACACCAAACCAACAGAATAAATGCTCTTTAACTAGCTAACATTCCTGATCAGGGAAGAAACCTTTATTTAAATGAAAAAGTAACAAGAGGAAAAAAAAAACACTTTTAGCCACTGTCATACAAATGTTAGGTCATAAAACTGCGGTTTTAAAATGCATATTTGTTTCTTAGTTCAGTTAGAGACTATTTTAAAGCAGGGCTATGATTATGAAGATGAGCAATTCAAACATGTTTTCTTGGTGCTTTACTCTTGTTTTTATTAAATAAACTCAGAAATCTGAAGCTTTTACCACGTCCTTATGTCATGTTTGACTAAGGAGTAATATCAATGTCCAGAAGCTGAAGTTAGCAGAAATAAGGCCAAAATCAGGATGTTCTGTTCTCCGTTTTGTTCACCATTATATAACCAGCACCTACAGGTTTATAGGCTGGACCTTTACTGCATTTCACACCTTAGTGACCTCATGCGACTTCATTTTCTATCAGGAATGTCTATCCATAAGTGCTCTGTATTTCAACAGTGTATTTCAAGATCATGCAAAGTTCTACCTTGATGAATGAGTTGGATTTGGGAGGACGATTAGCATCAAAGAAAGGCTGTTTCTACCCTCAGTTTTCAACCATATTATCTTAGGTATTTCCTTTCACTATCATATAACACAGACTGAAATCTAAAGTTACACCTTCTTAGTTCTGTGACATGATGATCAATTCTGTCCACTGAAGAACAAACAGTTGGTCAACTGATCAACTCGAGCAACCTACCAGGCTTCTTGAGAGTGTGTTTTTTCAAAGATGCTGCACATGTAACACTCGCTGAGAATGTTTCAGGTAAGAGTTAAAATAGTCACAAAGGTGAGGATGGGTTTTAGGTACTGTCTCCATGGCAACGCCTTCTTCCTGCTGGTTCTCCATTGGGGTCTGTTTTCCAGACCTCAGCTGAGGCCTTCTTTTGACGTTTTACAGCTCTTCTCAACCCCTCCATGCCCCTTATCCAGTCTCCATGGCAACCAAAGTGACCTCCCCTAAGACTAATTCTATCCCAGTGGCTTCAGGACAAAGCACAGATGCCTTGGGCACACACAACTCATGGGAATGCCAGCTCTTTAACCAGCATGCACAGCATACCAGCTGGATCAAAGTCAAGTGAACTTGGACACTGTGAAGGACTCTGGGAGAGGTCTCAAGTCTCCTGCAATTCCGCAGACCACCAAACACTCCTGCATCTATTTCCCAAGAAATTCTCTAAGGCATAGTAAGATGTGAAACAAGAAGTGAGCATGGAGTCTGTAATGGCAAAGACAGTAAGGAATTCTACAAAGCTCAAGCGAACAACAGAGAATGATTTGGTCCTGAAGTAGGTCCAGAGAAGAATAAGGCTAGATGCTCTTGAGGCTGAGAGAGAAAGGAGGCAGGAAGGAAAGAAGGAAGCAGAGGTGGGTTCTGAAGGTTCCTCACTAGGAAACCAAAGCCACAGGGGGCGAGCAGTGCTAGGCTCACTTGAGAAGCAGCCAGGTAGAAGAGGGAGTTGGGGGAACCCTTCCCAGGTCCCACAAAATGTGCAAAATTAAACAAAATGGGCACCCATTCATAATTTATAATTGTTATTTGATTTTTACCTTCATTATAGTAGAGTTGGACCGTAAAGAAGTCTGAGTGCCAAAGAATTAATGCTTTCAAATTGTGGTGCTAGAGAAGACTCTTGAAAGTCCCTTGGACTGCAAGGAGATCAAACCAGGCAATCCTAAAGGAAATCAGTCCTGAATATTCATTGGAAGGACTTATGCAGAAGCTGAAGCTCTAATCCTTTGGCCACCTGATGTGAAGAGCTGACTCACTGGAAAAGACCCTGATGCTGGGAAAGATTGAAGGCAGAAGGAAAAGGGGATGACAGAGGATGAGATGGTTGGGTGGCATCACCAACTCAATGGACACGAGTTTGAGCACTCTGGGAGATAATGAAGGACAGAGAAGCCTGTCCGTGGGGTCACAGAGTCAAACATGACTTAAGTGACTGAACAACAGTAGGAATTCAGTTTAATGACTACAGGGTTTATTTTTTAAAGGACAACATGGAACAGCTTTATTTGCAGCATTTTAGCTGAAAGCTTAGCCAACATATTCAGAAAACTTGGATGTGTTGGTCTTTGGAATTTGATATTTAAATATAGTGAAACACTGCTTTTCATTTGGCTTTGAAAGAAACCTCAGATAAATTCTAGAACCTCTAAGACTAACAACTACTTGAACCACAAGGCGGTGAGTACGCCTCTCTGTATCCATCTCTACAAAATGTTTCCAAGAAAACAAGCAAACATAAACACAGGGAGTTTTTTAGTTCATTTTGCACTAGTGAGTTACTCCATTCTGCTGGCAAATTTTCCAGCCAGCCAAGCTATTTTTTCCCTATTATCTTTCTTGACGACTTTCTTTAGAAACTCGTCCTCCAAAGGCCCTATGTTACTTAGGATCCACCATAAAGAACAGACATTTAATAGGTCAAAGTACAGCACACGTTTACCTCATATTCTACTTACTATACTTTCTGATACATATTTTGAACAATAGACTATTTTCCCCAGATTTGGGGAGAAAGACATTTTTCCCTTTTTCATCCAAAAAGAGTTGGGCAGCTGAAGCTGGCATTTTGCTTCTGTTTTGCTTATTCTCAATGTATCAAACCACCTGGACTTCAGTTCTCATGAATTTTACTCTATGTTTAAACGTCTTTGACAAAACTATGACAAAATGTAAAGCAAATGTATTTCTACCACAAAAGCTTAAGAGTAGAATTAAAAGTGAAAAGTGAGTGAAAGTGAAAGTGTTAGTCACTTAGTCGTGTCTGACTCTTTCTGACCCCATGGACTGTAGCCCACCAGGCTCTGTCCATGGAATTCTCCTGGCAAGAACTCTGGAGTGGGTGGCCATTCCCTTCTCCAGGGGATCTTCCCACCCAGGGATCAAACCTGGGTCTCCTTCATTGCAGGCAGATTCTTTACTGTCTGAGCACCAGGGAAGCCCAGAATTAGAAGTAGGTGATCTGAAAGATTACTCTTTATCTGGATTAACTACAGTATAACAACTGAATGCCTGATAATACAAAAATGCTGTCATGGTATTCTAAAATTAAAACTATTAGAAGGACATAATCATGCTAGAATAACACATAGCATTTTTAGTTGTTAGAAAAACTTGAAATGAGGCATTAATTCCATTTTGCTGATATTTAATATATAATCATTTTGAGCTAAATATATTTAAAATTTTAAATTTATTTTCTGTTATGTCATCTATGAAGGAAAAAATAATCAAGAAGCCTTATATCTATTTGGTCCTTAAGTTAAACATTCTAATTCTTTAAGGTCCAAGTTAAAGCCGATTACTTACCTTAGATATTGTTAAAAAGCACACGGTGAATTAACTACGTTCCTTCAGAGCTTCTGAGACAGGATTTGAGGCTGTCCAAGGACTTTGCCCAGTGAGAGGGGAGGGGTCAGGCTCACCAGGCAGCTGGGAGGAAGGCTCCCATTCTGGGTCTGTCTCATGTTTCATTCCCTCCTATTAGCAACAGGCACATCTAATTTTACTCCCGTGACACAAGCAGCTCATACCACACTTAAAATTGTCTGGGCACCAATTCCAGGACACAGCATTAAGGGTGCCAAGGAGAAAAACCTCCTACAGAACCAACAGTTAAACCCTGAATCATGACCCTCGCATGTGATTTTAACTTTCTCCAGTGAACTTGACCTTAAATGAACAGAAAAGCCTGTGGGATGCATTTCCAGTGGAATCCAATGCCAACAAAAGTCTTATAAAAATCAAATTCACATTTGACTTTACTAGTATTAAATGTATACTGTTCTCTTTCAAGTAAACTGCAAAGTCTTATGTAACAGTCTTTAAAAATCACTTTCTTTAGACTGCTCTCCTTGTGGCTCAGCTGGTAGAGAATCCACCTGCAATGCAGGAGACCTGGGTTTGACCCCTGCGTTGGGAAGATCCCCTGGAGGAGGGAATGGCTACCTACTCCAGTATTCTGGCCTGGAGAATTCCACGGACTGTATAGTCCCTGGGATTGCAAAGAGCTGGACACGACTGAGCAACTTTCACTTTTTTTTAGACCTTTTATAAGTGAAAAAACTTAAACATTTGAGAAAACCTTAAATAATGATCATTACTATAAAGCAAAAGTAGACTCAACATGTTAAAATTATGATAGTTATTTTATCAGTAAACTAAAATTATATCTTGTTTAACAAATTAAGTGAAAGTAACAAGGTGATCTTATGTAGTCTTATCTTTCTTTAAAAAGAACAATTAGATCATTCATCTTTTATAAGGTGTAAAGAAAGTCTACTGAACTTTTGAATAATCTTAATCTTTTATTCTGCACTATTTTTACAGAGCCTGATTTGCAGCATGAATTGAAACTGACTAAGTTGTGTACTTGAAATTCATATTTTGGCACTAAACCTTGACTTTGAGAAGCAATGTGAATGATAATCCATATGCTTAATTTTTATTTTATTTTCTTCTCAGGAGATTTTTTCTCATGCTATTTATTTATGCTCTAACTTCTTTTGAAATTTGATGCTTCTTACACCAACAGCTGCAGGCCTTAAATGAAAAGCTGATACAGCTTCAACTAATTGTATATTTATTCATAAGACACTGAAAAATCTTTCATGAATTCTTTGTGCATTACTATTTTTTCTCTCGTGGCAATTCAGTTGGACAAAATACTATGGCAAAACCACCAATTCTCAACGAAAATACCTACTGTATTTAACAGTGATAATATGAGATGTATTTTTGTATCACCGGGTGCCTGAATAGTCAAAATCTGAAACCCCTGACTCAATATTCTGGTTGAAATGTCACACTTAAAAGTTACTTACAAAGGGACCTTTTGTCAGTCGACTAACTGATTTACAGCGATGAATTTTCACCTTGGGTGTTGTTTTGTAAGCATGTTAGTCAAGTTGTATATCTGTTCTCCATTCACATTCACAGATATATTTAACACTATCGACTAAACTTTTAATCCTGCTGGAAGGATGACTTTGAAAACAAAATCTTTTGATTTTATACCACAGTTGATACTATTGAAAAGAGATCTTCAAAGCATCCATTGTAGGTCTAGTTCAGGTTTGTAACTCACATACACACATCACATTTGTTTTCAACAGAATGATAACATTATAAAGCTATAAGAAGCCTTAAAGAAAACTAGTCTACCCGTCCACTAGACGTAAAACACTTTATTCAAGGTCAGAGCTGCTAAGGGCATGGAGGGAAGCAACTTTCAGATGAGATAATCCGAGCTTTGGAAAGAACAGAGAAGTGAGGAGTAGCTGCCTCAAAGAGGTAAGGAGTAAAGTTACCAGTGAAATGTATGAGTCTGCGTTCAGGGTCCAGCTGAAGTTGATGAATAGACAGTGGTCATAGTCCCTGTGACTTTATATTCTACCTGCGGTGGACAGCATTGACAGCAAAGCCTCTCTGACCCTGGCTACACTTTCATCGCTTCCCCAAACCTGCCCCTTCACCCATCCTTCCTTTCCTGGCTTATGACTCCAGCCTCCACACAGTCCAGGGAGACAGGTCGAGAAAGCCCCCTCGCTAACCCGCTGCCAGTCACCAGTTGACACCGCCCCTCCTGCTCTGCCCCCGTCTCTGCCCTGGGTCCCCTTCTGACTGGGGGACCCCCCTTCAGACCTGCCTGGTGTGTGGCTGGTACCTGCTCCCCTGTGTGCAGGTGCACTGTGGTGTATCTTACTCTCCCCGATGCCACATTAACCCTGAGAACAGGAAATTCTGTCCTCATCACTCCCCTGCTTCAAGTCCTTCAGCAAGCCGTCGGAATAGGGCACCAGGTCCGGACAGGCACATGCCCCTTTACAGTCAGGCCCTGCACATCTCACCAGGCCTCTCCCTGTGGGTTCTGTAAGGAACCACAGGAGTCACCTTGCTGTCCGGTGCCCACTGGACCTCAGACTAGAGTTCTTGCTCATCTTTTTCTGCTTTTTCTTCTATATGCACTTAAAAATTTATTATAATTGCTTGTATATACACTGCCATCATTGGTTTGTAAACCTGTTCTCTCTACTGGACCATGAACTATGTGCTTAGCACCTGCATATAGTAAACCCTCAATTAGCTGAACTCTGCAGTTATACCAGACTCTGCTTTTTATGACAGCAATTCCGTAGTGTACAGTAAGACACACACACACACACACACACACACACACATACACAGAGCTAACATACATGATCAGAATGACATTACAAGAATTTTCCAGAAGAGGTCAGTATAACAGCAGTAAGAGGATGGCTTTCAGAGTAAATGAAATGTGAAATCAAATTAAATTCTTTTGTAAGTGATCAACTTTAAACCTTTAAAAAAAAATACCATGTGAATCATTTGCTCCTTCAATTGAAGCTGTAGTTCTTCAAAATAGATGGCCACAGACTTTTCAAGTAAGTAAAATGAAGTGATCAAATGATTCTATACACAACTGAAAACTCAAGTTTTTCATCTGGAATGTTGTTAATATAATTACCTGGAGGTTTCTCACCCACCTTTCTGATGACTTTTTAAATAGGAGTGATCCAAGTGTATGCATTTTATTTTTATTTATTTGTTTTTTTGGCTGCACTGGGTCTTCATTGCTATGCGGGCTTTCTCTAGCTGCTGCGCGTGGGGACTACTGTCTAGAGCGGTGCACAGGCTCCTCACTGCAGTGGTTTCTTTTGTTGTGGAGCACGGCCTTCAGAGTGAGGGCTCAGTAACTGCAGCACATGGACTTCATTGCCCCTTGGCATGTGGAATCTTCCTGGACCAGGGATTGGACCCATGTCCCCTGCATTTGGCAGGCAGATCCATTAAACCACCAGAGAAGTCTCCGAGTGTATGCATTTTAACAAAAACAATTCATATTCCCTTCAGAGTTTCCATATCAATAAAAAGGAAACTACTAGACTACTGATGTGGGTATCTTATGTTTCTCATGGTCCTTTTGGGGAATTTAGGAGTCAGTATTCAGTATCAAGGACTAATTGAGTATTTTCAGGGAAGATAGGATAAAAGCATTGGAATGCTGGAAAAATAAGAGGTAGGAAAAGGAAAGACTAAAAGGAATACAAAACTTTAAGATTTCAGAAGAGAAAGTGGAATATGACTTGAAATTGCAAAGGTTATCCACTGGTAATGCCTGAATTGCATCACAATAATTAAAAAGCATTATTCCATGAACATATAACCTTGCATAATCCACAGAAAATGGATATTACAGCCCCAGTAAGTATAGACTTTTGGGCAGAGAATGGAAGTGCTGTGTGTGCCCATCAGAATGACAGGAAACACTGAGCCATTAGCAAAGCAGAACCCACACACGCTGGAGAGGAAAGCCATCAGAAGGACTTGGGAATTCCCTGGTGGTCCGGTGGTTGGGACTTTGTGCTTTCACTGCCAAGAGTCTGTGTTCAATCCTTGGTCAGGGAACTAAGATCCAACAAGTCTCACAGAAAAAAAAAAGGGGGGGAGGGGGGAAGCGCTTATGAGAAACCTGAAGTCTTCTGCTTCTCCCTACCAATCTCCACGTTCACTTGTCCGAGTCACTACTTACATCTTCTTCCCCATACTCACCTCTGACCTTTACATAACCTTAAATGGCTGAAGCTCGATTTATTAACTCTGGACTCATGCTATTGGCTGAGTTCATGCACATTATCACCCAGGTGACCTTCTTCTCCTTTTCCCTATGTTATTTTATCCGTGGTCACCTCTGAAATTCCAAACAGTTTATGTCAGCATTTGCTTCCTGGCCCCTGATGACAGATCATCTCTTCATCTGTCTGCTCTCTAGTTGAGGATGTTAGCATTTCCCCACTTCTAGACACGTGCCCCTTCTTCTTCAGCCCTCCATCACTTCTTTACTTTCACATGATCAAACTGGTCACATGTTCCATTTTGAAATGATCATCTCCTGTATCTCCTATGATTTGAACAGGTTGATTTAAAAAGTAAAAATTCAAAAGGCAGTGTTTGCATTTTCACTCTTCTGGAAGAGTTTGAAAAGAAACTGCATTAATTCTTTAAATGTGAGTAGAATTTTCCTGGTCTCTAGCTTTTCTTTGGAGAAGGCAATGGCACCCCACTCCAGTACTCCTGCCTGGAAAATCCCATGGACAGAGGAGCCTGGTGGGCTGCAGTCCAAGGGGTCACTAAGAGTATCGGACACGACTGAGCGACTTCACTTTCACTTCTCACTTTCATGCATTGGAGAAGGAAATGGCAACCCACTCCAGTGTTCTTGCCTAGAGAATCCCAGGGACAGGGGAGCCTGGTGGGCTGCCATCTATGGGGTCGCATAGAGTCGGACACGACTGAAATGACTTAGCAGCAGAAGCTTTTCTTTGTTGGGAGAGTTTTGATTCTGATTCAATCTCCCTAGTTGCTACTGAGCAATTTAGATATCCTATTTCTTCTTGATTTAGTCTTAGT